CCGACAAAAATAACAACAATAATTACCAAGCTCTTGCTCGTGGACGCAAGAGGGTAATGATTGCGTTCTAATTGTTAACTTTGCTGCGTCTGGCTGCTCCTCTTGGGAGACTTGTTAATGCTTGAGCAATGATTAGTGAAATACAGCCAACAAAACAACCGCTTATTCCACAGTCCCCAAGCCGATGATTTTTACCCGTGAAAGAACGCTTTGTGCCGCTGAGAATCTACGACTCCGTGTTGTCCGCCCACATTTGCCTCGTTACGACGCCATTTCATGGAATAAAAAAAACACTGCTGAGTGAGTCACTGAAAGTGCCGTTTAATGTAGGATCGCTTTGTTAGAGCCTCTCGGCCGAGTGGCTGCTCACAGAAGCTGATTCAGAGACACCGAGACACTCCGAGTGCGCCACGGTGGCGAGATGTTAGCTACCTCGCACGATATGCAGGAGGTCGTGGGTTTGATCCTGACCCTGACCCCTGTATAGTTAGAGTTTGCATGTTCTCCCAGGGGTCACGGGTATTTTTCTCCGGGACCTTTGGTTTTTCACCTCCACATTTAGAATCAACGTGCGTTTAGATTATTCGGCTGCGAAAAATTACCAGATAATAAGCCACTTCGTTGAGCTGTCATTTGTGGCAAAGTCACTTCTAAAAAAGAGCTATATAGGTCAGTGAGATTTACTTAGTAAAATAGTAACGTTTTGACCTGCGTTTGGAAGTCAGGATTCAGCCGTCAATGATTACATCAAATGGATAGTCTGCCGTTAAATCTGTAAATTGCGAGAAAATTCAACCGATGAAACCACAAGTTTCAAACAAGACACACAATTTTTTTTAAAAGCACGCAACCATTGTCATTGTGGGAAGAAAAAACCCATCGGCATTTCTTGACCGCACTCTATCAGGAAGCATTTCCTGTCCCCACTCATGTCTGAACGCGTGTGGACATGAGAATGCCGATGGTATTTTGCATTCACACCAATCACCATGTGCTTTTTTACGCATTTTTGCGTCTTGTTTGAAATTAAAGGCCTGCACGCAATATTAATTGATATTGGGCCTTCATGACAGTTCGAAAATAGTTCAGCTCAAGCAACCGTTAATTTTTTTCCGATTCACTGATTGCAACATGATGAACATTCTTTAGAGGAAGTAATGCAAGATCATGCCACTCATTGTTGATAAAATGTTGATAAAAGTGTTGAATGTCGATAAGGGGTCAGTGAAGTAGTGTGGCAGGGTGGCGCAGTGGTACAACACTCGTAATAGAAACACGATTGGTAACGATCACATATTTCTGTAATCGGACGCAACATTCGATCAAGAACTCAGAGCCGCGTGGAGACTTAGCTCAAGAAAGAGGAACCTGGGTTCGATTTCTGACTTGGGCACCTTTACATATGGAGTTGTATGTTTTCCCTTGGCACTGCATGGGTTTTCTTCAGGTTCTCCAATTTTCTCCAATAATCAAAACAATGCAATGCCATTGGCGTTGGCCAAACATCCCACTGGAGCAGGATTCTCCTGAAAAATTGTCTTGGGACTCAGTGGGGCTTTCCTTGGTTAATAAATCATTATTATTGGAGCCTCAGGAGTAGTTCTTTGGTATCAACTTCCGAGGGCTTTGACATGATGCCGACGTCAAACAGCTCAGTGCGGGGAGCTCTGATTAGAGATGTCTTCATCCCGTGACAAATTGGCAACAGCACAAATTCAAATGCAGATGGGCTGAGAAAAAAAATATTAAAAAAAAACGCCGTTTAAAAACAGTGCTCTCGACTACTTGGATTGTAGGTTTGAATCTCCTTAAAAGCCTTGCCAAGCACAAACACGGTGGGTCTATTTGCAATAATTTGCCTCTGCCCTGCACTCGCAAATGCCTGCAGATATTTGCGAACAGTTCCACAATTTCAAGCGCACACTCCAGCGATGTGGGTCAGCGAGAGTTGAATTGTGGATGTAATTACCAGCGAAATGTCGCTTTACTGAAATTGTAAAATGTTATGGATTTACTCTCCAACACACTGGGTGGGCTGAAATAGTCCACTCATTTCCACGTTTTGTTCACGTGACAAATCTTACTTATTGGCTGTGTCGAGTGGTGGCGAGTTAACGACACATTTATATATTTACGTGATCTAACCCAAAAAACCGTTCGTCACGAAGGGAGACAATGCCTCAACAATACCACGGCGGTGTTGGATGTGCTCAAACTCACTTTCCATCCACGCTAGGACGATGGTGCTGTTTCGTCGATATAGGTGTCAGTCAATCAATCAAGTCTTTATTTTCTATAGAACTATTTCGTGCAAAAGATGCAATTCAAATTGCTGTACAGGTAAAATAAAACATTGTTGAAAGACTAAATGGCAAGAACAATAAAAGCTATTTCCATACAAAACAAAATTGCATTATAATAAATTGCTAGCGAAGGCATATACAAGAAAAATAGCACTATAAAATCATTTTAGAATAAAAAGTAAGTTTTTCGATTTAACTTAAAATTGCTTCATGATTGCGAAGCCCTGAGATCCCCTGGCAGGCTGCTCCATAGACGAGACCCACGCACAGTGAAGGCCGCCGTCTTCTTCGTGAGTTTTGGTCCTGGCCCTTGGGATAACTAAAATACCTGAACCATAAGTCAGGCCAATAACCTATCCATAACAAAGCCACAGTTTCCAGTAGCTCAAAGTGATTTCCTGCTCAAATAAGACATTGTTGCTCATCTTCCATTTACAGCCCTGAGCCATCTTCTCGGTTCTTTCAGTAAAGTCACGTAGAAGGGAAATAATAAAATGATAAAAATGAAACATCATAAAATACAATTCTCACGACGTTTCGGCCACAATGGAAGCAGCCGTCCTCAGGTGAAGAACAGGTCTGTCGGAAAGACAGCGTCTGAATGGACATTCAGACGCTGTTTTTCCGACAGACCTGTTTTATTATTATTATTATTTTATTATTTCCCTTTTACGTGACTTACCGAAAGAACCAAGAAGATGAATCCCTGAAGTCACGAAAGCTTTAAATCGAAATTTAGCCCTGAGCCAGTGGTGGAATTTCCACATTTTTATGGCAGGAGCGAGCCTATCCAGAGGAAACACTGCTTACTTATCCACAAGGTGATACTAATTTTATTGACCTCTGGAGAAATGATGGGCTAAGTTATGCCCTGGCCAGAATCTAACCGTTCCATCGTGAGTTGAGTGCTGTTTCAAGCGGGTTCACGTGACAGTGCAGATCTCCCTCGGTTTGAAGCTTTCGTGACTGCAAGGATTCATACTCTTAGGTTTTTTCGGTAAAGTCACGTAGTTAAAAAATAAATAATAAAAATAATAGAAATAAAATAATAAATCACGACGTTTCGGAGGCAACACAAGCTTCCGTCTTCAGGTGGAACCGTCACAGTACAATTGCTGTATTTTTTCTATTATTTTATTATTTATTTATTATTTATTTTTCACCTACGTGACTTTACCGAAAAAAACCTAAGAGTATCTCCCTCGGTGTTTATCATCATCGACATCATCCCAATGAGGCCCATAAAATGCCTACCGCTTTGTGGAAGTCGGCAGTGGCTGTGCAAGGCTTCACCGGCCACCCCAGCGAAGATGAAGATGACCTGGAATAGGAGTCCTGTTACGCAAAGCATTTCCCAACGCGCGCGGCTGGCTGGCTGACCGGGGGTGTGAACGCCCGAGAGGGGGGCAGCTCACGGAGCGCTTGAGGAGCCCCAAGGGTCTTGAAGCCGCCTCTGAGTGGCACACCGAGTGCCACTTGTGCCGCAGCGCACACGGTACACAAGGGGTGTACATACGCACGCGCAGAAACACGCGTACAGATGCTGTGGAGCTAATCCACAGGGCAGGGTGGCTGCCTGGTTAAGAGGTAAAAGACAAAGATCCCCCCTGTAGCCTTAACAGACTATGAGAACAGGTTTTCCCTTTTTTGGCAACAAAACAGGTGTTAAGATTTCGATGTAAAGCTTTCGTGACTGCAGGGATTCATCTTCTTGGTTCTTTCGGTAAAGTCACGTAAAATGGAAATAATAAAATAATAAAAATGAAACGTCGTGAGAATTATTTTATTATGTTTTACTTTTATTATTTTATTATTTCCATTCTACGTGACTTTACCAAAAGAACCAAGGAGAGGTGTTAAGATGTTAAACCACCAAACTGAAACCTTTTACAAGGAATAATGTCTCCATTAACCACAGACTATTGGAGCAAGTGCTGTTAGCGAGCACCTATGAACGCCAGCACGGTACACAAGGGGTTGGGTGGCCAGCTCCACGCCTAGCCGCCTTTGTCTCCCCATTTGAGGCTGAGTCGACCTAGGGGATGCCCAGGACTGGTTCAGATAATCGTCACCGGTGTTAGCCGTGAGCGAGACTCGAACTCGGGTAGCCGGGTTCGTAGTGCAAGCACGCTAACTGCTACACCACCGCTCCCCATGCAGTGACGATTATCTGAACCGGTCCTGGACCTGTCCTAAGGTCGACTCAGCCTCAAATGAGTACTGGTCCAGTTTTGTAAGCATCAGCGCTGGGGAGACAAAAGCCGCCATGCGTGGTGCTGGCCATCATGGGTTCTACTCGTTAACTGAACTTGCCCCAACAGTCTGTTGAGGCTATATGGGGGATGTTTGTCTTTGTAGTGTGGGGGGGGGGGGGTGCGTTTTGATAATAATACAACAATAATCCCAGGAAAGCCACACTGAGTCCAAAGAATTATTTTTCAGGAGGATCCTGCTACATTGCGATGGTTGGCAAACACCAAATGGCACTCTATATGTGGCGTTTAGGCTGTGGGGAAATATAAAAAAAAACCTGGAGAACCACGGAGAAACCCCGCGCAGAGCAGGGGGTGACCGGGTCAGCGATCGAACCCAGGTTTTTCTCCTTACAAGGCGCAAGTGTGACAGGCCGACTGCCCTATTCTCTGTTGAGGCTCTGCACGAGGTAATCTCATTGTGCTCTGTGTGCTGTCTCCGCAGGGGTACCGGTCAAGTATGACGCATCGTTCCGTGGACCCATCGCCAACAGGTACGAGCTGAACTTGGCGTAGACACTGGGCCAGGGCTAGGGTTAAAGGTCGAGGCACGAGTTTGGTTCGCCTGACAGAAAGTCGAAGTCATTTCCTGCAAAGCTGAGCATTGAGGTGATGCTCATCTCGCTATTACTGTCCTGAGTCACAGTGGTGGACATTCCACGTTCCTATGGCGTGGCCGAGTCTACTCAGAGGACAATCACTGTTTACTTCTCCACCTTTCTGCTTGCGAGCTGCCGCCTGTCTGGAGTTGAGTCCGGGGTTAGGGACTTTGTCTGGGTTAGGGTCAGGGCAAAAATAAGATTTAAAGTCACGGTTAAGGTTATGGTCATATGATTAGAGTTAAGTTAGGGTCAAAGTTAGGATTAACATAAGGGTTGTTATGGTCATGGTTAAGGTGAGGGTTCAGGGTTAGGTTATGGTTAGGGTTAAGCTAGGGTCAAGGCGATAGGGTTTTTGTGTCAGGATTATGTTTAGTGGCATGGTTAGTTGCAGATATGGTGTTGTTTATGGGTTATGCTTAAGGGTTGGGTTTAAGGGGTTTAGTGTAAGGGTTTGGTTTGGGACGAGGATTAGAGGTCAAGTGTCTCTGAGCCCTTGTCTCACACCCCTGAGTTCAAATCCTGCTCGTGGCTCAACTCAGCCTCTTTTAATCACATCTCAAGGGTGGATAAAATAAGCACTAAGTTGCCTTGTGAGTGGACTCGTCCCAGTCATACCAATGTGGAATTTCTACCACAAGCCCAGCCACTCAAGTCAGTTGATGGCTCTGAGCCAGTGGGTAGACATTCCTAATCCCTCATGGCAGGGACCATCGCTGCGGAGATGGAGCGATGAGTGGAGTCCATGCGCAGGACCGAGCCGGATGACAGCAACTCTGGAGCGCGAAGGTCGGTGACAGCGTGGGGAGGTCTTCATCCAGCAGTGGATAGACAATGGTCGATGATGGTGGTAGTGGAAAGGACCATTGTAAACAAATAAATGTACTGTACGTGCATAAAACCCGATTGACAAATCGACCTCTTCTTCTTGGTTCTTTCGGTAAAGTCACGTAGAAGGGAAGTAATAAAATAATAAAAATAAAACATAATAAAATTATTCTCACGACGTTTCGGCCACAACGCAAGCAGCCGTCCTCAGGTGAAAACCAGGTCCGTCGAGGCGACAGAGTCTGAATGATCTAGATCGGTGCGCGTAAGTCTGATTTTCTCTGAGATCAGAGCTAAGCTAGTTCTAGACAGAATTCGTAGCCTTCTTATCCCGGAGCTTGTTAAAGGATCTCAAAGTTATGTGGAAACCCTCCCCGTAGAGGCGGTTAAATTTCGATTTAAAGCTTTCGTGACTGCAGGGATTCATCTTCTTGGTTCTTTCGGTAAAGTCACGTAGAAGGGAAGTAATAAAATAATAAAAAATAAAACATAATAAAATAATTCTCACGACGTTTCGGCCACAACGCAAGCAGCCGTCGACAGACCTGTTCTTCACCTGAGGACGGCTGCTTGCGTTGTGGCCGAAACGTCGTGAGAATTATTTTATTGTGTTTTATTATTATTATTATATTACTTCCCTTCTACGTGACTTTACCGAAAGAACCAAGAAGATGAATCCCTGCAGTCACGAAAGCTTTAAATCGAAATCGACCTCTATCAATGTTGCTGAAGAGGGACAGAATATCTTTCCCTATGTGGGCCTGGCAGACAAAATTCCTGAAATGTTCAGGGTGGGTTTGGAAATAGCTTTCTCTTTGCCCCGTATTTATAGACTCTGTTAGCAATGACCCGGGCGAAGAGCTACTACTCGTCGAGGGTTGTACACAGCAAGCGCACACAGAGTAAACAACATCACCAAAAACAACGACAAATATTGAATAAAGGTTATTTGACAAATGCTGTTAGCGAGCACATATTAAGGCCGGCACAACAAACGAGCGGTCCATGCGGCCAGTATCACTCACACAGACACACACGTGCGACAACAGTTGGCGTTAGACAACAGCGTGGCAATGACGACAGCCGTAATGCTTGTGCCAGACTAGGTACACTTTAGTCTGCGTGAAGGGGTGACGGCTTCCTGTTCGCTCACAGGACAGGAGACCGAGATGTTATCGGCAGACGGAGTTGCTTGACAGACGTGCGGTCTCTTTGCATTCACCACCGTCGCCGCTCGCGCTCTGCTCGTCGCTCTTCCGTCAGCCCTTCGTTGCTGAAGAGTGGCTTTCGCCAGCTGGCCAGTAGCATGAAGGTGCACCTAGCCTGGCACTGCCCGGTAGCGTCCTTCACGAGCCTACTCCACAGAGGCCGATCTTGACACCACCGGTACCAGTCATCGGCAAGTCCACTCAGCTCCGCATTTCCTCCTGTGCCGCACCAGGCCCACGTCTCTTATGTAATCTGCCCCGTGCTCGTGTAGCCCCCTCTATCCGTCCAAACAGGAGCTCCTTAAATTTCTATTTAAAGCTTTCGTGACTGCAGGGATTCATCTTCTTGGTTCTTTCGGTAAAGTCACGTAGAAGGGAAATAATAAAATAATAAAAATAAAACATAATAAAATAATTCTCACGACGTTTCGGCCACAACGCAAGCAGCCGTCCTCGGGTGAAGAACAGGTCTGTCGGAAAGACAGCAGTCTGAATTATTTTGTTATGTTTTATTTTTATTATTGTATTATTTCCCTTCTACGTGACATTACCGAAAGAACCAAGAAGAGGAGCTCCTTAGGTCATGGTTAAGGTGGCTTCATTCATGACACGAGCGCTCCCACATCCACAATCACACGCGGGATTCGCTCTTAATTTTCACAACTTGCAAACAATCCCCAAAATTGGGGGCCCAGATGGAAAATGTGCGATGAGTCCGATTTGTTTTTATACTCTTAGGTTTTTTCGGTAAAGTCACGTAGGTAAAAAATAAACATTTAATTAAAATTAATAAAAGTAAAATAAAAATCACGACGTTTCGGAGGCAACACAACCTTCCGTCTTGAGGTGGAACCGTCACAGAACGCTGGCAGTATCAATTAAAATTTTAATTTTTTACCTACGTGACTTTACCGAAAAAACCAAAGAGTATGAATCCTTGCAGTCACGAAAGCTTCAAATCTAGAACCGATTTGTTTTGTTTAATTTCGGATTGATCCGGAAATCGAAAGTGATAGCCATCACCGATGTTGGCCGTGAGCGAGAATGGAACTTGGCTTGGCCAGGTTCATACGCTAACCACTGCACCGCCGCTCCCCACACATATACAAAGGCCCCCACCCCCCATGTCAGCCTTTTAATAGATGGTTGGGGCAAGTGCTGTTAGCCGGTACCTATTTGGCATACGCCCACGGACACACAATGAGTTGGCTGCTGCCTTTGGGCATGTCACGAGTATTCATGAAGCCTCCGAGGAGAAAATTCTAAACCAGTCGAAAATAAACACAGTAAAGGGCGCATGCACAAGAAACAAAACGCCACACAATGCCGCGCATGTAAACACAATAAACAGGCATAGCCAATTGAAGAAACCATAAATATTAAATGTGTTGGCACAATTTGAGAGTTGTGTCAACATGTGGTGTATTCGGGGTTGTGGATTACAATAATAAAAATATCCAGACCTTTTGTAAATCCACTGCTGGAGGAAGGCCTCCCCACGCTGTATGGGTGGCGGGGGTTGTTTGACCATACTTCACCATTCTGGTCAGTGTGGGTCGATGAATTGCATTCCTGGGATGGGGGGGGGGTCAGGGATGAGGTAAGGATGGTGGGCCAGTACCAGTTTGGATATCACTCGCCACTCATGTGAGCCGTGGCCATAAATTGTAGTCAGGCCACTGGGTTTGAAGTGCATTGCAGAGACAACTCCTCAAACATGACCAACAGAGTCTTCAGACTCATCTTGTTGGTTCAAGCCTGGTGGTATTCATTCAGACGCTGTCTTTCCGACAGACCTGTTCTTCACCTGAGGACGGCTGCTTGCGTTGTGGCCGAAACGTCGTGAGAATTGTATTGTTTTATTTGTATTATTTTATTATGTCCCTTCTACGTCACTTTACCGAAAGAACCAAGAAGATGAATCCCTGCGTCGTGAGAATTATTTTATTATGTTTTATTTTAATTATTTTATTATTCCCTTCTACGTGACTTTACCGAAAGACCCAAAGAATATGAACACTGCTCCACCTCTTCCACCAAATATGCAAGAGAAACATCTGACTGGATGATGCAAGCCACGCATTTGGCTGTGGTGTCGTAGACAACCTGCGTGGTGACGAGATGTTAACTACCTCGCCTGGTCTACAGGAGGCTCGTGGGTTCGATCCCGACCTGACGCCTGCTGCTGTATAGTTGGAGTTTGCGGTGTCTCTCTCCCCGTTGTTGCGTGGATTTTTCTCCGGGTCCTCTGGCTTTTTCCCTCTCACATTTAGAATCAACGTCGCGCGTTTCGGGTATTTGTCGACTATACATTACCACGTGATAAGGGCCGCATCGTTGGGCTATCATTTGTGGCCAGGTCGCTTCTGAAAAATAGCTATATAGCTCAAAGCGCCTTACCTGGTGAAATAAAAACATATTTTAGTTGGGTTATTAGTCGCGTGCCAGCCTTCAAATCGACTCGCTAACTGCTCTTGGCCCAGGAAAGTGTGTTCACGGCTATGCGGGGTATCTTTATCTTTGTTCTATTTATATTTAATTAAACAATATTTGGTGATGCTACTCAGTTGGCAGCGTTACACAAGCGCATCGCAAAAACACTCAACACCTAAGTAAACAACGCTGTCTTAATATAACACATAGACAGAGGCCAGACATCGTCTGGATAAGAAGACCTCATCACTTATGATTTGAGTTCAAACTCCAAAGATGATTGGGAAATCATCATCATTATCACCACCACCATCATCGCCAGCCCCACCTCCACTCCATCCTCATCATCACAAACGACATCATCATCACCATCACAAACAACATCATCATCACAAACAACATCACCATGACCAACTGCAGTAGCACTCTAGATTATAATCACACGATCACCATCATCCTCATTATCAACTCCACATCATCACCACCATCAACAGCTGCTATTCACCACTAAGTGGCAATGACGTCTCCACGGCGCTTGTGCCAAGCTAGGTGCACTCTGAGGCCACACGAAGAGGTCACGGGACAGACGCAGGTATCATGGGTTGACTGACTGATTTCTCTGATTTCACCAGGATAAACAAACATTCTGATTCTGACTTAGATGGCTGGAAGATGCACCACCTATGATCCCTGCTGCGTCAACTTGCTGCATTTTATCCGCCCGGTGCCTCGCTCGTTGTTGTGAGCGTCGCTTTCTTGTTGTTGGAGGGCGACTGCCTCCAACTGCCCTGGAGCGTCCTTCACAAACAGACACACGTACACACACACATCTGCGCGTGTACAAGTACAAACACAGACCCAAGCTTCAAGTTGATTTTGTTTAAACAGGTGGGAAACTCAAAAGGCCAGGATGGGTCTCATTTTCAAGAGTGACCTGGGGGCATGAATCAGCTAGGAGGGGGTGATGGTCGCTATGTGTAGTCCCAATGGGCTCTGGACCCACAAAGTGGCCTGTGTCTCGTGCACGCGAACACACACAAGGCGTGCCCACAGAACGCAACCCACGCCCACTCGAGACTCGCTTCTCAAAGCAGTGGAAACACGCCACTGGTGCTCCAAACAACTGCCCTTTCATTGATCCACGCGAAGCCAGCGGAAATCAGTCTTGAGTCGTATTCATAAGGTCCGTGAGTTCATATCCTGACCCGGTTTCAACTCAGACCATCAGCATCATCCGCATGAGGTCAGATTCTCAACTTCTGATATTCCAAATAGTGATCGTACGGAAAGAGTGGGGCCAGCCGTAGCCGCTGTGACATTTCCACTCCCGGCTCAGTGGCAGTGCTATGGAAGCAAAAGCTCAAGGCCCCAGGTAGCTCAAGAGCCTCGGATTTAGGAAAAAATGTTGGTGTTCAGCAAACATCTGTGTTCATGCTATCTCGTGTCTTCTATCACGACAGGTACACATCTTTGGCTGACACATCTCTCATCTCACGACATCTCTATGTTGCCTGAAGCACTCTTCTCTCAGCCACGCCATCTCTATCTCTTTGTCTACATATCTGCTACGCATGCCACTATATGGCATCTGCTGTCTCTATCTCGCCCGTCGTATCATTACATCCAGATTCTCTCAACACTTTCTTTCATCTCACTTGCAGTTTATAAATTGACAAGAGGAGGACACAATCGTTTCCGCTTAGGGTCCCAAATGGGAAAGCATCACTGCAGAGATGAGTTTTTTGCAAGGAATATAAAAAGTAGTCGTTATAGATGGGTGAAGATACATTGTAGGGTGGTGACACTCGTGCCTCACAGAGAGAAGGGCCTGAGTTCGATTCCCCACTTTGGTGCATTTCTGTGTGGAGTCTGGGTGCTCTACCCCTGCTTTGCACAGTGTGAGTGAGTGGGTGAGTGAGTGGGTAAGTGAGTGAGTGGGTGAGTGAGTGGGTGAGTGAGTGGGTGAGTGAGTGTGTGAGTGAGTGAGTGGGTGAGTTTGTGGAATTTGGATGTTCTCCCCATGGTTTGCATGGGTTTCCTCGGGGTTCTCAGATCCCCACCCTCCCATAGCTAACACTTCACATACACTGTACACAGTATTGGCCAAACATCCCCATCCAGAATCATTCCCTGAAAATTACTCAATTAGGGTTACACATAGCAACATTTAAAAGTTGGCAGGATTCTCGTGAAAAAAACAAAAAGTGACTTGGAGAAGATCTGCAAAGAGGAGTGGGACAAAATCCCTCCTGAGATGTGTGCAAACCTGGTGGCCAACTACAAAAAAACGTCTGACCTCTGTGATTGCCAACAAGGTATTTGCCACCAAGTACTAAGTCATGTTTTGCAGAGGAGTCAAATACTTATTTCCCTCATTAAAATGCAAATCAATTTATAACATTTTTGACATGCGTTTTTCTGGATTTTGTTGTTGTTATTCTGTCTCTCACTGTTCAATACACCTATCATTAAAATTATAGACTGGTCATTTCTATGTCAGTGGGCAAACGTACAAAATCAGCAAGGGATCAAATACTTTTTTTCCCTCACTGTATATTTAGAAAGATGCGTCGATATTATTTAGATGATTATCACGCTACGAATGTCCTGAATGAGGGTGCCACTTTGTTGTGCTATCAATTGTGATAATCAGATCGCTTCTGAAAAATAAGTTAATAGCTCAGTGGACTTTGTCTAGTAGGACGGGGATGGCTTAGCGTTGTATTTGTGTGTGTCTGGGTGATTTGTTTACCTTCATTGCACCTTGCACTACTGTCGAGTTTTGTATTGTTTGTTTTTGTAGCGTTCTGACCCCGTGCCCCTACTGGACATCTGTGCAAAAAAACTTGATGGCTAATCGGATTCCTCCAGTATAAAAATTCTGAAAAAACCAACAACATTCTGATATTCTTGGTTCTTTCGGTAAAGTCACGTAGAAGGGAAATAATAAAATAATATAAATATTAACAATAAAAATACTCACAACGTTTCTATTGCAACACAAGCAATCGTCATCAGGTGTGAAATCCACTTTTTCAAATATTCTTGCTGTGGATTTCACACCTGATGATGATTGCTTGTGTTTCAGTCGAAACGTCGTGAGAATTTTTATTGTTTAATATTCATATTATTTTATTATTTCCCTTCTACGTGACTTTACCGAAAGAACCAAGAATATGAATCCGTGCAGTCACGAAAGCTTGAAATCAAAACATTCTGATACACATATATATTTACCGCATGCCTGTGGCTGTAAGAATGGGGTCGTATTCCCGAGTCTTCGCGCTCAATGGGTGGTGATGGGGTGGTGGCGGGCACTGACCGGTCGCCCTATCTTCACAGGAGCTGCACAGACATCATCTGCTGCGTTCTCTTCATGGTGGTGATCGCCGCCTACATCGTCTTGGGTCTTCTCGGTGACGTTCGCACGCGCGGAATCAAATTGGAATTCATTCACTTTATTCATTCGTGTTAGCGGTTCTACATGCACACACAGAGGCCGCTTCTCCATCTGCCAGGCTTAAACCCAGCCAGGTGGTTTCCTGCCACACGTATGAACACTTGCTAATGGGATTTTGTCGAACATCCCACACATTATAGGACCACAGAGCTTGGGAAATTGTCGACGCTGGCTCTGGCTGCTCTCCCGCATCTCCTTTTCCTGCTGCACGTGAATCATTCTCTCTCTCTCTTCAATCAATCAAGTCTTTATTTCTGTAGCGATATTTCGTGCAAAGGATGCCATTTAAAGTACTGTACAGATTAAAAATAGTTAATTGACTAAGTCACAAGATTGAATGGAAGCTGCGCCTGTAAAACATTCTGAAATTGTTACTTAATTACGGCACAATCATTGATTCGTCGACCCCACTTGTCCTCTCAGCCTGGTTGAATGGAGATCCTCGCAAGGTCATCTACCCGACGGACAGCCAAGGGAACTACTGTGGCCGGGGCAACTACAGGTTTGGACGATGCGACGGCATGTCACCGTCAATCCGCACAAAGCTCCACGACCAAGTGCGGAAAAGCCACGCGGCTCCGCATGGATTCCGTGACGCTTTCCAAACGCCCTTTTGTTTTGTGGAAGTATTTATTTGGAAGCAGGAGTCTGGGCAAAATGTGTTCGCATATTTGCAATCACTGGACAGTATTCCTTTTTTGCTCTAGTTATTGCCTCCAAATTTTCGGGCAATGTTTTGACCAATGAGTGAGAGTCCCCAATAGCAACACCACTTTCACGTTGGGTCATCTACGGCGGGTAACCCCATGCCGGGCACTGCCCCAGCTCGAGGCTGCTTAGCCTCTGAGATCTGACGAGGTCGCGAGAATTCCGCGGTGATCTGTAGCGGTCGCTCGCTGGTGGTTGGGTCTCCACTAGAGGGAGCTCTAGAGGGCCCCAGACTTCACAGGGTCACATCTTGACTTATAGCTTTCGTGACTGCAGGAATTCATTTTACAGGGTCATTTTGCAAAGCCGTGACACGCTGGCCAAACGGGATTGGAATAGTACACACTTTACCCCACCAAAGACAATTATCCCCCGTATAGCCTCAACAGACTGTTGGGGCAAGCACTGTTCGCGAGCACCTATGAAGGCCGGCAATGGCACACGAGGGGGTGGGTGGCCAACAACACTACGCCCGTCCGCCTTTGTCTCCCCAGCGGTGAGGTTTACACACTGCACCAAGTACTCATTTGAGGCCGAGTAGACCTATGGAGGCCCAGGACCGGTTCAGATAATCGTCACTGGTGTCGACCATGAGCGGGAATCGAACCCGGGTCGCCGGGTTTGCAGCACAGTGTGCTAACCACTACACCACCGCTCCCCACAACCACCAGACGCGACCTGCTGATGCAGCCGAACCCATTTTAGCTGCTGGGTGAGCAAAGATTCGTGCGTATTTCAGATATTCCTCAATTTGTCAACTGCCAGGAGATCGAATTGGACCAGCGACCTCCTGGAATGCAAGTCCAGTGTGCGGACAGTTACACCCATGGCAGCGTCCCTGATATAATATATACGATCAAAATTACAACTTGTGCACAAATGTTAATTTGCTCTCGTCCGTTGTGCGATATGAACGCGCACCAAGCGGCTTGACGCTGGTAAATTGCCGACCGTGACACCACTGTGGTGTATCACAGTGCTGTTGTTGTTCCTTTGTGCGTTTTCTTTTCAGCGACAAGCCCTTTCTGCTCTACTTTGACATCTTCAAGTGTGCGGGCAGCGCTGCGCTTCTCAACTTCAACTGCCCGACCACGCAGGCGAGTGGCTTCCCTTGCGGGCCGGTGGCAGCTCGGGGTGGGTGGTTCACAACTTTCTGGGTGCGATGGGCGATTTGGAAAAAAAATTGGCGACTCCGGAAGGGGGTAGCTGCTCGCTCGATAATAATGTTCACGTTCCACTGCTCGTGCCGTGGCCCAGCGCGTCACTGCGATGTCGGGTTTCCACCGGATTTTGACCCGGACGATCCTGTTGTTAGATCCTTATGGCAGTACCCCGGGATACCAAATAATACAAATTGGGCCGAGGCAATTAAATATTTTATTTCTGGAACACTATTTTTTCCAGGGATATATTTAACTCTGCGACTGGGATACCAATCGATCCGAAATCAGTGCCACACTCCGTGATGTCGAAACGCCAAACATTGGCATAAAAAAATCCGTTATCGAAAAATGCAACGTTGAATAGTGCATCGTGCACAGCTCGTCGATGTGACTGTATCACAGACATTATGCGAGAGCCGGGGTGCTATGGAACCCCGGGGTAACGCCACAAGGTTCATTTGGCGTCTGTGTTCGGGTGGCAACGGTTGACTTGTACCGAGATCTGGTACCGGTAGAGTGTTTAACTTTATTCGAGTCGACGACTGAACAGTTTTGATGAGAGACCTGGGCGGGTTCAAAGTTTGGTGGTGGAATAGGTGGCAATCCTCCTGCAGTGGCATCACCAGGACACCCCTGACCATATCTCTAAATGTGTTTCCCCCCCACCCCCGCCCTCTTATCTGAAGTTTCAAGTTCATTTCGGACGGTCGAGGACACAAAGCCTTTGTACATTTTTGCGAAAAATGAATTGGCCGTTGTTTGGCCCGCACATTCGTATCACGGACGACTTCACAAATACATGTGATGGTCATCTTATGGAATCGTACAAATTGGATCTAAATCCCACGTTGATGCCAAGGTGTCCTTCCCGTGCGCAATCGTCACCATTCGTATCATTTGACATTTTTTCTGAGTGAATTTTGCCGTGACTCGTTTTCAAAAGTAAATCGTCCACAGTAAATAGATTTTGTTTCCGCACTGTTTTTCATTTCTTTCGTAGTGCGGTTGTTGTTGCTGCTCTGATTTCTGTTTTCTTCACCCCTTTACTTTATTTCTGCGTTATTACTTTTGCCATGTTTAGTGATCCAGGTCACTCTTGCTCGCGCTGGCCTGTTGACCTCTCACCTGGTCAAACAAAAATCAACTTGAAACTTGTCCTGCTACCCGATCGATGCAGATATGTGTCCAGCAGTGCCCAAAGAATTTCTGGGTGGTCAACATGATTCAGCCTCCCTCCCAAGCTTTCAACGCTGAGTACTGCCGCCCGGGGTTCAACCTGGCCACCACCAGTAAGGTCAGTGTCTCGCTCACGGTACGAGCAATGCTCCGTGTGACTGCCGTGGCTGGCTACCTCTCTCAGGCGTCTTTGAGCCGGTGAGTTTGAGTGCTGGGACTGTATATACAATCGTGTGTGTGTGTGCACGTGTGCGTGTGCGGCGACACGGGTTGGATTCACGCTCACGGTCAACACCAGTGACGATTATCTAAACCGGTCCCGGGCCTCCCCTAGGTCGACTCGGCCTAAAACGAGTATCTGGTGCGGTGTGTAAACATTGCCACTAGGGAGACAAAGGCGGTCGGGCGTGGTGCTGGCCACCCACCCCCTCGTGTACCGTTCCGGCCTTCATAGGTGCTCGCTAACAGCACTTGCCCCTACAGTCTGTTAAGGCTATACGGGGATCTTTGTCTTTGTATGTATGCTGAACTTCTTTTGCACCGTACGTCGCCAACCGTGCTAATCGCAGGTGTTGTGTGTGGGGATCGGTGGTGGAGCGGTTCACGCGCTGCGCCACGAATCCGTCGACCCAAGTTGGATTCCTGCTCACGACCAACATCAGTGACGAATATCTAAACCGGTCCTGGGCCTCTCCTAGATTCACTCAGCCTAAAATGAGTACCTGGTGCGATGTGTAAACATCAGCACTGGGGAGACAAAGGCGGCCGGGCAAGGTGCTGGCCACCCACCCCTCTCGTGTGCTGTGCCGCCCTTCATAGGTGCTTGTGAACAGCACTTGCCCTCAAGGCTATACGGGGGGGGGGGGGTCCTTGTCCTTTGTGTGTGCATGTGCGTGAAGCAGCAGTGGGGAGCTGTGGCGCAGTGGTCACCCACCCCTGCGATGTGCCATGCGGGCGCCCTGACGAGGGTGCTTTGTGTGGGCATGAGCGAGCGGCACGTGCGTTCAGTGTGCGGCATCACGGATTTCTCAACGATTCACCGACTTGACCAAAGATTCGCGCCCCTATTCCAGACGGTGCAGCAGATTCTGCAAGCGGAAGACTGCGCAGGGTTTACCGTGCCCAGCAAGGATCGTGAGTATCACGTGGATCACCCCATCATCGCCGTGGCCCCGTCATTTGTCCGCTGCCGGATAAAGGCCCTCCCTCATTTTTACGCCATCCGTCGCGTTCCCGTGACGCTACGATAACCGTTACGCTCCCGCGTGCGAAATCCGGCCTGCGTTTTTTTTTCCCGATCCGCACATCGTCATAGCTGTCGACGTGCACTGATTGAAGAGATGCTCTTCTCTGATGCTCTTCTCTGGGCACGACGGAATTCTGCTTTAAAAAAAATATTTTCTAGATCAGATCGGTGAGAGCGCTTCGTCCCGTTCGCATTCACCTTCGTGTCACGATCGTTCGGATTAATTGGCAGAACAATTATAGACAGAGAGTACACGTAATGTTAATCTCACTCGTAATAATAATAACAGTCATGTTAAACAAAATCCTGCCTCGCGAAGCCAGGAAACCCCTACATGTCATGCCCAGTGTGATAACACAGCTGATGATATCGATGGTGTCACCAAGACCCCCAACTAATACCTCCCGTCCAGAGGCACACGCGGGAACGGAGAAGAAACTTCGTTCCAACCGTTTCAATGTTGTCCGGCTGGTCGGTAATCGAACAGATAATCGGCAGAGTGATCGATTGCTTAGACAATCGCAGAGCCCCGCTCGTGTGCTTTGGTCTGATTACTTCTCCGAAAGTGAGCAGCCTATGAGCTCTGCTCAGAAACTTTGCTCAAAAATGTGAAACCACTTCACTCATTGGGGATATAACCCTCATGGGGGATATAAATGAATAAACTCTTAGGTTTTTTCGGTAAAGTCACGTAGGTAAAAAATAAAAATAAATAAAAATAATAATAGAACTAAAATGATAAATCACGACGTTTCGGAGGCAACACAAGTCTCCGTCATCAGGTGGGACCGTCACAGCCAAATTTACTGTATCAACATAACCCACCACCATCAACGAGTGCTGGCTCAGTGACAGAGCCACCACCTGCTTTTAATCCTGAGTATCACAATTGAATCCAGGTGCCGCTGACAGCCACCCGTTATGAAGACCAGGTTTGCAAGCGTAGAGGGTTGATAGCCTCAACCCTCTCGCCCCCCCCTCCAGCCCCATCACTGCGTCTGCTTACGCCGCCATAGTTTGCACTATTCCAGCCCTGAGAATGAACCATCAGTGTCTGATCGCTTTCTCTGCGTAGCCGCTGCGGACGCGGCAGGCGCTGCAGTTGTCCCGTTACCACGCGTTTCTCGTGTGGGCGGTTAAGTGGTCAGGGGGGACGGATGGCGGGTGATCGAGTCGCCCGATGAAACTAGTTGTGATCGCCGGCCAAACGTCGCACTCAGGTTGTAAATGTTGTGGGTTTACTCTCCCAACACACAAGCGGTTAGTGCTGAATTAGTAACTTGTTGGCACGTGCTGTTTACATGACAAACCTCACTAATTGGCTGTGGACGGGCGGTGGTGGGTTAACGACACATTTGCATCTTCTTGGGTTATTTCGATAAAGTCACGTAGAAGGGAAATAATAAAATAATAAAAATTTTACATAATAAAATACAATTCTCACGACGTTTCGGCCACAACGCAAGCAGCCGTCTTCAGGTGAAGAACAGGTCTGTCGGAAAGACAGCGTCTGACTTGATTTGACCCAGACTGCCTTTCCGACAGCCCTGTTCTTCACCTGAGGACGGCTGCTTGCGTTGTGGCCGAAACGTCGTGAGAATTGTATTTTATTTGTTTATTTTTATTATTTTATTATTTCCCTTCTACGTGACTTTACCGAAAGTTTTAAATCGAAACATTTGCATTTACGCGATCTAACAAAAATTAACTTTCATAACGAATAATGTTGATTCGCGAAGACCTTACTACGTGTTCAATTGAGTCGCTCCCACTTGGTCGTCTCGGCGGCCAGCGACGAGAGCCCTGACCGAGCAAATGAGCAAATAGCGACAACATCGCTGGGGACGCTCGATCCGGAATACGTGAAAATTCACGGCCAGAATTGCGAACGCGAGCGACTCGAGGTTTCGCGGCAGAATCGTTCCGAGTGTGCTGGTGAGAGTGAGAGGGATGATATGAGAGAGATAGAGAGAAAAAAACACAGCGGGAATAACGATAAACCCAGTGCCGGATTATCCTAGCAACACAAGTAGCTACATAATGCTACGGGCCCCGCACTTTGAAGGGCCCCGCGCTAAAGGCTTTCAAGCTATCAATTCCGGTTCAGTGATGCCGCACTTGCTCTATTACTATAGTACGATACCGCCTTCAACTTTTACGGACGACTGGGTGTTTAGCGTTAGCAATTTGTCGTAATATCTGGTTGTATAGCAATTGAAAAAAATTAACCCGTAAAAACAAAGTTTTTCACTATAAATCCTTTATATGCGTGGCGGCTAGAGTCCTCTCGTCCTCTGGCTTGAGATGGCTGTCACCTATGGGTCAAATGATTGCCTGCCACCATTAAGCAACTGGTAATTAAATCTAAAATAATTTTTCCTAAAAAGTGTCAAATTTACGAAAAATGTTTTGTCACGAAAATACATTGTCACGCACAACGAGTCTGTGTGCAAAATGTCAGCTCAATTGGATCACGGGAAGTGGGTTAAAAAACGACCGAAAGATTTGCACGGTCGTAAGCACGCAAGCAAGCAAGCAAGTGAACTTAATATAAAGGATTTTAAAAATACAATAACTTCACTATGCAAGTAAAAAAATTCGTGTTTTCATATTTCCGTGCGTTTTAAAAAATGTAGTGCCCCTTTATAACAATTGCCAACAGGCCCCGCACTCGCTTAACCCCCCTCCGCGTGTCTCCCGCCCGCAAGTCGTGAACCGCTGCGTCCCCGTGCTGCTGAGCGACGCGTCGGGCGGCAACGTGACGGTGAACGGCAGCAGCAGCGTGCAGACGCCCTCCGGCACGGTGTCGGCACAGGCGGTGCAGGAGGCCAGCAAGTAAGCTGGCGGGCGGGCGGGCAGCCGCGTGAACTGCGGCAGGGGACGGTGGCGCGAGCCGAGGTCCGTCACGGACGCGGGTCGGAGCGAGCCGCTTGGCCATTGCCTCGGTGCTGCGTTCGCCGCCGGGTGAATCCGAACGCGTGTTTCGTTTTATTTTTTCACGGGTTCTCGCCGTTGTTAGTAAGACGCCCCCCCCCCCAAAAAATGTTCAAGACCGTGCACCTCTTCCCACCACTCCTCCCTCCGACCCCTCCCCTCCACGACCACTCTAACCCCAGACACACCCGACTAAGGGGCCGTCCATAAGTGACGTCACGCACCTATTGGGGGGGGGGGGTCAGACATTTGTGACAATGTGTGACGATAGGGGGGGGAGGTTTGAGAAATGTGACGTCACATCAGAATGCTCAACTCTATATAAATATAGACAACACGTTCTACCTAATTACATTGACTTTTTAATAAATGTTTTCTCCTACATCAGATTGCAGCGCCACATTAAATACGCACTACAATGACAATAGTTTAAAGCGATTTGAAGCATGTTTCATTTTATTTTGGGGGGGGGCAGAGCTTTGTGACGTCATATTTGAGGGGGGTCTGACTTTTTGTGACGCCGTGTGACGAAAGGGAGGGGGGGTCAAAAATCGTCCAAAATCGCGTGACGTCATTTACGGACGGCTCCTAAGGTGGCCCATTTATTTTAGTCTTTTGTTCTGTTGGAACGTTTCACTTCACGTGGACAATCGCTCCAAGTGGAACCTCTCGTCTGGAAGGGTGTCCAGGGTGACGATTAAAACACGCTCCGTAGCAATGGCACCGACAACTCGCGTAGACCGTACGCATTGATTCGACGAGCATCGCACCCAGTCAGATACATAATAAATACGTGAATAATTCAAATGTCACCTTGCATAGAGGTCACATGTCCACACCTCTATGCATCACGGTGTGAGCAAGGCATTGGTTTCATGTCGTGTGACAGTGTGTTTGTGTTCGTAAGGTATTGGTTCAATTCTGTGTTTCCGTGTGTTTTGTCACCACAATATTTATCCTGCACTGTGTCCATGCCACAGCCGTGTGTCCCACATCAACCGGATCGGCCTCTGCCTGTCGCAGAAGTTTGTTGACAAGTCCCAGACGGTCGAAATTGGTCCGGAGATTCCTTGCTTGCACAAATGCTGCTGAATAATATTCGTCTGCAAAGCCAATAAATGGATGGACTAAGTTATATAATTGTATTTTTTACGTGGAGATATTGTAGATTATAAATTACTTTTGAATTTTGTCATTATAATAATAATATTGTTTTTATTTTTGTTCCAGTTACTTGGCCGGTGTGTTGAATGCTCGTGACCTGGGAATGAAAATCTTTTCTGATTTCACCAAGTCCTGGTACTGGATCATCATGTGAGTCCACTTCATTTATTGATCCCCTGCAGGTCAATGTCGTGTTTACGTATTGCGCCAACCATGGCACGGTGGTGGCTAACGCACGTGGCCTGTGATCTGGCACTCTGGAGACATCGTGGGTTGGTGAATCACTTCACGAATGTTCTTCTTGGTTCTCTCTGTAAAGTCACGCAGAAGGGAAATAACAATATAATAAAAATAAAACATAATAAAATAATTATCACGACGTTTCGGCCACAACGCAAGCAGCCGTCATTCAGACGCTGTCTTCCCGACAGCTCTGTTCTTCACCTGAGGACGGCTGCTTGCGTTGTGGCCGAAACGTCGTGAGAATTATTTTATTATGTTTTATTTTTATTATTTTATTATTTCCCTTCTACGTGACTTTACCGAAAGAACCAAGAAGATGAATCCCTGCAGTCACGAAAGCTTTAAATCGGAATTCACGATTGTTGTCAAACTCCCTTCCCGTGGGCGTTGAGGTGCTATTCCCCGGCTTGCCAGGAGACGGCGGTACAGCACAACATGTGAACTGAACCTGGTGTATGTACGCATTTTTTACTTCTTTCGCACCGTATGTAGCCAACTGCGCTAATCGGAGGTGCTGTTTTGCATCTCGGGGATAGAGTGTTTCCCCCTTGCACGCTTTGGTTTTCTCCGGATGCTCAGGTTTCCTCCCACATTCATTAATGGTAGCCGCGGTGGTAAGATGTTAACTACCTCGCCTGTTATACAGGAGGTCGTGGGTTCGATACCGACCCTGACACATGTATATTTGGAGTTTGCATGTTCTCCCCGTGGTCGCGTGGATTTTTCTCCGGGTCCTCCAGTTTTTTTCCCTCCACATTCAGAACCAACGTGCGCTTAGAGTAATTTGGCTGCAATAAATTTCCACGTGATGAAAGCCACTTCGTTGAGCCATCATTTGTCGCCAGGCCGCTTCTGGATAAAGAGCTAAAGAGCTCAGTGGGATTTAGCTGGTAAAATAAAAGTAGTAGTGGTTTTTAATTGGCAGGTAACGCCTTAATATAAAGGATCGCAGAGCTTAGGCAATTGCTGGTGCCCGCTCGTCCGTGGATCTTCCTCGTGCCTCTTGAGTCGTTTTCTCTCTTCGACAGCGATCGAACACTGTGCGCGTTCTAAGTCGAAATTATGTTTGTCGTCAACAGCAATAGAAGTAATCGGATTAACCAGAAAAGCTTCGCCGAGTCATGAGATTCATTTTGCAGGAGAGTCTTGTTTTGTGACGTTTGACTGATTCCTATGTTAGAGGAAAACTGCAATTTTGCAGCAAACCCATGGATATGAAGAGATTCAACTCATAGGTCCGCCATGCAGACAATTTGGCATTGGTGCACAAGCACAATTAACAACAATAACAAAAACGCAAACTCAACACGTAAAAACATAAGTAATTGGCGATGCTTTAGGCAGCGGCTCTTCTTCATAGCACACAAAGACATTTGTGTTCTGGTTCACACTGCTTCGTTCCTTCGTTTCGTTCGCTTCTCAACCCGCTTGTCCTGATGTGGGTCGCGGCGGCAGCGTGTTGAGTCGAGCGGTCCACACCTCCCTTTCACTGCCGACGGACTCCAGCAATACTACACTATACACTACTACACAATATACTACTATACTATACACTACACTATACACTACTACACTATACACTACTACACTATACACTACACTATACACTACTACACAATACACTACTACACTATACACTACTACACTATACACTACTACACTATACACTACTACACAATACACTACTACACTATACACTACACTATACACTACTATACACGACACTATACACGACACTATACACTACACTACTATACACTACACTATACAACACTATACACAGACTCCAGCTCTTCCTGGGGGCATTCCCAGGCGTTCCCAGGCCAGCCGAGCGACGCCACCCCACCAGCAGCAGCAGCTGGGCCGGCCCGGGGTCATCTCCCACTGCGGCTGTCGTGAACCACAAAACCGCGCACCATCCTCTGCAGAGCAGCGGATGGCGCGAGAGATCCATTGACGCCATTCGTAAAGAGGAGGCCACCGTGATCCAGCGTCACGTGACGGCCCAAGTTCTACAACTGACCCACAAAATGACCCCACTGGGACATCGCCCCCCTTCTGGCCCCAAGTCATTCACACAAACGAGACTCATTTTATTCTCGGGTTAAACAGAGTAACCTTCGAACCCGTGACGCTTGAACTCTTCTGCTGACGACGATATTTACTGCTGATCCTGCTGCTGCTTATGATGATGGTGATGATTAAATATTCCTCTGTAGATGCCTGGTCATCGCTATGGTGGTGAGCCTTCTCTTCCTCCTGCTGCTGCGCTTCACCGCCGGATTCCTCATCTGGGCCATCATCATCGGACTCGTGGGAGTCGTCGGATACGGTACAAAACCCGGACGGGAATTCTCCGTCAGCACCGGGTCTATCGGTACAGCGCCGCGCAGCCGTCTACTGACTGCGATGATGTTCCACACAGAAACAGCGGTGCCACGTCTCGGTACAAGTTCGATTCCTGCCACCCAACGCACAGGCGTTGATTCCCGGAGAGGTGGCGAAATCTACCCCAACCTCAAGCCCTGAACCCGCTTTGGGAAATTCATAATGCCCGAGTTGGGCACACAGATGACCTCGGTTGGACAACCACTCAGAGCTGTACCAGACCAATGTTGTTATTATTTATGTGGGGCCTTCAATGTGGAACTTGAGGACAGCCCTCACCCCCTCAACCACCACCCCCTCCCTTGCCAAGTTTCTAGATCCGCGTGTGGATGAGCGCAGCACCTCCGAGCCCCTCGCTTCGATCCCCAGTGCACTGACGGCTCCCTCCCCCCCCACGCAGGGATCTACCACTGCTACCGGGAGTACGACAACCTGAAGGGAAAGCCCGGAGCGGATCTCAAGATCACAGACGTCGGCCTGCAGACGGACCTGTCCGTGTACCTGCAGTACAGGGACACGTGGCTGGCGTTCAGTAAGGGCGCAGCGCACCGATTTCGTCACGTGCTCAGGACGCAGATCCCAACGCGGGTCACGTGCTGCCGAGTCACGGTCAATGTGACTGTGACACACCGTGTGGCTTGCGTGCTTGTGACACACAGTCACACAATCACAGCACACACATTCTCACAGCGTGTGTGACACCGTGTCACTGACTGTGCCACTGACTCTGTGTGACGATTGCTCCGTGACGTATGAGTGTATGTACGTATTTTGAACTTCTTTAGCACCGTACACAGCCAATTGGAGGTGTGGGGGAAGGGCGACAACGTTGACTGCGTCACTGTGATGCTGACACATTGACTTTCTGGAGCTGGCGTTGATTATACATTGGTCAACACACTTTTTCTGGCATAAGGTATTCCAACGGTTTTAATGTAATTTTGGGGTGCTGATTCCAAATCTGGCATCAGTTTTTGTCTATCACATCAGGTTTTTGAGATATCAAATATTGCATTTTCAATAAAAACTGCAGAAAAAATATTAAATAAATGTGGATATCTACATAAAATGATATTATAAACACACTATCCTAAAAATACAGCACCATATTTTAACACTAAAGCAGTCACTGACTCGCAACAACTTGCAATCATAAGTGACAGAGTTAATTTCGGGTAAAATCAATGAAAATGGGGTATGCCGATAGCATAAAAATGAGATGTGATAGAGCAAATCTGAAATCAGATTTGGAATCAGCACCCTGAAATTAGTCTAAAACAGCTGCAAAAGTCCAGGCCAGAAAACAATGTTATTTTTGTTGACCAGTGTGCCCTTCGATTTAAAACTTTCGTGACTGCAGGGATTCATCTTCTTGCTTCTTTCGGTAAAGTCACGTAGAATGGAAATAATAAAAAAATTAATAAAAATAAAACATAATAAAAATAATTCTCACGACGTTTCGGCCACAACGCAAGCAGCCGTCCTCAGGTGGAGAGCAGCTCTGTCTGTGACTTTACCGAAAGAACCAAGAAGACAGTGTGCCCTTGCTATGTGATTTTGACCTTGACTCTGTGACACGCACGTTGACTCCGTGGCACCGAGACTCCCCCCCTGTGTGTGTGTGTGCTGCTGTGCGCAGTGATCGTCCTGGCCGTGGTGGAAGCGCTCATCCTGCTCATCCTGATTTTCTTGCGCAAGCGACTGCTCATCGCCATCGCGCTGGTCCGCGAGGCGAGCAGGTGAGCTCTCCCTGCACAAACACAGGAGACCCATACAGCCTCCGCAGACTGTTGGGGCAAGTGCTGTTAGCGAGCGCCTATTGGCAGTGGGTGGGCAGCACCACGCCCGACCGCCTTTGTCTCCCTAGTGGCGAAGTTTACACATCGCACCAGGTACTCATTTGAGGCTGAATCGACCTAGGGGAGGCCCAGGACCGGTTCAGATAATCGTCACTGGTGTCGACCGTGAGCAGGAATCGAACTCGGATCGCCGGGTTCGTAGTGCAGCGCGCTAACCGCTACACCACCGCTCCCCACATGTACGGACACATGCACACACGCTTGTATTACATACACGTGTGTACACAAGTGTGTGCGTTTCTGTGTACAGGCGTGCATTGGTACAACAACAAAAGCCGCTATTCACCACTAATTGGCGCTTGTGCCAGGATAGGTTCACTTTGAGGCCACAATGTGAAGCGTCGAAGGCTTGCTGCTGGCAGGAGGCCACGGGACAGACCCCATGTGTTATGAGTTGGCTGTGTGAGATGAGTGGCAGATGCACCACCTGTGCTCCCCAATGTGCATTCTTGTGCTGATCTATTCCTATTCTGGTTTGTATTTACCGGGCAAGGCCCCACTGAGCTATGCAGCTCTTCGTCAGACGCGACCTGGCCTCAAATGATCGCTTGACGAAGTGGCTTATCACGTGGAAATTGTACAGCGGCCAAATAAACGTGTGATGTTGACTCTAAATGCGGAGGAAAGGACCCGGAGAAAAAAACCACGAGACCACGGGGAGAGAGAGAGAGGTAGTTAACATCTAGCCAGCATGGTGATCATGAGAGAGAGAGACATGCAAACTCCAAATATAGAGCAGCAGGCGTCAGGGTCGGGATCGAACCCAGGACCTCCTGCGTACCAGGCGAGGTAGTTAACATCTCGCCCTCCTCTGCGTTGTCTTCCCGCCTCGCCAGAGCCATCAGCTACATGATGTCGTCGCTCTTCTACCCGCTCGTCACCTTCGTGCTGCTCTTCGTGTGCGTCGCCTACTGGGGCATCACCGCGCTGTATCCTCGCCAGCGGCGCGGACCACGGTGGTGGCCTTCTTCGTTTGATAAATAAGTAATATTAAAAAAAAATAAAACACGCTTTCATGAAATGTACTAGTGATGGCAGAACTACACGACTCCAGGAAGTGGCCCTGAAGCTTGCCATAACGTAAGGGACCGTGGCCATTTACAGCCAACGTGAGTTTACCGTGGACAATTAGAGCCAAGCCGAAACATAACATATAAAAAAATTATTTAAAAAAATATATTTTGTATTTTTCATGATAGAATATTGTATTGTCATCAGTATGACATAAGTATACCAAGTTTGCAGTCGATACCACATTGGGAAGTGGGTTAAAATTGAGTTGCAAGATTTGAGGATACAACAACGACAACAACGACAACAACAACAACAGACAGAGTGAGTTAAATAAAAGCGTGTAATAATAAAACAAAAAACTCGTCGAGCCAAACCGTGCCATCGGAGTGAGATAAGAGCTCTGCGTGTATCGCTTGAGTCATCGGTGGACAGGATCGGGCGGAGCGCGTGCGTGTGTGTTCGCCAATTCTTGCAGAAGTTCGCGGTTCAAACCAGTGGCCGCCCTGGTTATTACTTCGGGGCTATGAACCTCAACGAAATTCGCGCTCGTCCGCTTCACAGTGGACGTTAGAGATCCCGTGTGACGTCGTTTGTTAGGGTCGTGGTCCAAACGCGTCAGATACAAACAAATCACACCGCAATTTACTCAAATAGGATGACACACAGACAGCTGTCGATCTTCCCTACTGGCAGACCGGGGCCTGCGTGCACGCCAGGTGCGAGTCGCCTCGTGCCGCACAGGGACAGCTGCCACCGGGGGTGTACTTTCAAGCGTTTTTTTTCTTTCCCCGCACGGTTGGCTACATACGGTGCGAACAAAGTTCAGTACTGTATCCCGTGATGCATTGCTGTGAACCCATACGTTTTATTCGTATTCTTGTACGGGGAGATTGAGTTTTCTGGTTAATACGGAGTAACAGCCGTTTCAATAAGGGGGAAAAAATGTTGTCTCTTTGTTTGTGTTTCTGCCTCGTGATGGGACTTTGTAGGATGAACGTTGATATTAATCAGGGGGCATGGGGTGACCAAATAAGGTCTGAATTGGTCTGTAATAAGGTAGGGCACTGCTCAGGGGGTGACAGGTGTGGTGATGTCAGCAACTTATTGCGTGGAAAGCTCTCTTGAGACGCTCCGGCGTGAAGGAGAACGGCTCTATCAAAAACAAATCATCAGCATCGTTGTCACTCTCATTGTTATCATCATCATCATTATTATTATTATTCGAGCCTTAATAGAACGTACAGGTATCTGAGCACTTCCGGGAGACCCATCTACAAGGTGTTCGTTGACCAGGATGGAGCCTCCGCCGAGTGCCGGAACATCAGCAACGCAGACTGCCACCCGAGCGTGAGACCACCACCACCCACACCACCACCCCCACCGCACACTTCCATGTCGAATCCGGCTGCCCGCGGCGTTCAATTGCTGGAGGTGCCTTCACCGGAAGAAGGTTCCCTTGCACCGCGTCGCTTCGTCAAGGATCCGCGCGACGTCGTTTGTTTGAAGGGGAGACGGCGTTCGAGTAGCGGTGTCGTGGTAAACAACAACAACAACAAATCTAGATTTAACAAAAAAAATAACACCGGATTTGAAGCTTTCGTGACTGCAAGGATTCATATTCTTAGGTTTTTTTCGGTAAAGTCACATAGGTAAAAAATTTAAATTAATAAAAGTAAAATAAAAATCACGACGTTTCGGAGGCAACACAAGCTTCCGTCTTCAGGTGGAACCGTCACAGCACGATAGCTGTATCAAGTGAGAGAAATTCCAAGAAACAGAATTTGTTTTATTTTATTTGTATTTTACTTTTATTAATTTAAATTTTTTACCTACGTGACTTTACCGAAAAAAACCTAAGAATATAAAATAACACCGTTAAGGACTGAAGTGGGAAAACACGCATAGCAGTTGTTGCCGCCCACCCCCCTTTACTGGAAACAAAAATTTCGCAAGAAACCTCCTGACAAATGGTCTTGAGACTCGGGTCCTTGTGGGTTAATAAGTGTTCGTAAAAATACTCTTTGGTTTTTTCGGTAAAGTCACGTAGGTAAAAAAATTAAATAAATTAAATCACGACGTTTCGTATAAATCCTTGCAGTCACGAAAACTTCAAATCTAGAACTTTAGTAAAAAGATTTAGAACAAAATAATAAAATTACCGGTCACCCGGTGTGCTTTACAGATGTTACCGTCTGCTGGGGGTTATTTTTCCAGACACAAAGACAAAGATCCTCCTTTGTAGCCTCAACAGCCTGTTGAGGCAAGTGCTGTTAGCGAGCACCGACTAAGGCCGGCACGGCACACGATGGGGTGGTGTGGCCAGAAGCACGCCCAGCCGCCTTTATTTCTCCAATGCTAATGTTACACACCACACCAGGTACTCATTTGAGGCTGAGTCGAGCTAGGGGAGGCCCAGGACCAGTCCAGACATTCGTCACTTATTGGTCTTGAACGGGACTCGAACGGTCAGATTCATTGTGAAGCTCGCTAACCAGTGCGTTATCGCTCCCCACAAACACACACACAAATATTAATAACAACACACATTCACACACAGACACATGATCCCTGTCAAGTCTTATAGAACTCTTTGCTTCTTTCGGTAAAGTCACGTAGAAAGAAAATCAATTAAATAATAGAATACGACGTTTCGATTGCCACACAAGCAATCGTCATCAGGTAGAAAACAAACCCCGTGAACTTCTAAATTTGAGAGAGAGACAAAACACAGACACGGAGACACACAGACAGAGACACAAGCAGAGATAGACAACACAGAGACACACACAGAGAGAGACACAACATAGAACGTCGGAGAAAGTGCTGTCAGCGAATGTCTATCAAGGCCAGCTCGATGCACGAGCTTACGTGGACAGCACAACACCCGGCCTCCTTTGTCTCTCCAGTTCTGAGGTTCACACACTACGTGAGATATTCCTTGGTGTTGGCCATGGCTTTGTATGGGAGTCAGGTCAAGAGCCCTGTGTGCCGTTGCCCCCATATCTCACACACACTCGACAGGATTTAAAGCTGTCGTGACTGCAGGGATTCATCTTCTTGGTTCTTTCGGTAAAGTCACGTTCTACGTGACTTTACCGAAAGAACCAAGAAAAAGTTATTGAGGAGTAAAGCATCAATATATAATGGGATTACACATTACTATGTTACCAGATTACTCGAAGTCAAAGTGACTTCCTGCGTCCCGTTCATAGTTCTGAGCCAGCGGAGGAGATTCCACGTTCCCATGGCAGGCGCGGAAACTCCACGTGACATCCGCTGTTGACTTTGCCACAAAATGGTTCTCACTTTATGATGATGGGCTGAGTCAACCCACCCAAGCAGGACACGAACTCGCGGCCTTCCGATCGCGAACCGCTTGCCCCCGCCGCCGAGCGTCCGCCAGAACCGCTGACCAGCCGATGGGCAAACCGCGTCCCCCGCTTCGCCGCGAGCGACGCGGTTTTTGCCCCGACAAAAACGCCACCCTTTTGTTTCTCTCTCTGCCAGAATTTCAGCTCGGCGAGCTGCCCGCAGGCGCGCTGCTCGTTCCTGCACTATGGCGGGGACAGCATTTACGAGAAGAACTTGCCCTGGCTCCAGGTGCGCTGTCACCCCGTTGCACCACGAGCGGGTCACTCACTCCCAACATCCGGTCACGCACTCTCAACGTTTTTGCCTCGGTCCATAAAACACGGCCGTCGGGTTTGGAGTTGTTGTTGGGGTTCTAAGTTAGAGTCGCGTTTGCTTCCCTGGGCCGCAGTTCTGGTTAAGGTCTGCGCAAGTTTCTAGGGCTGGGTTATTGTCACGGTTGCTGTGTTATGGTGATGATTATAATGATGACCATTGATGATGATGATGGAAGGCTGAACCGTTAAACCCAACTGGCAATTGGCCTCCCGATTGTGAGTTGAGTATTCTGACCCCAGCGTAGATCTGTAAAGAAAAAATAAAACTCACCGCAAGATTGCAGAGCAACATCGACGCACTGACGGGCCACCGCCGCGCGGTCTCACGGCGCAGGTCTTCAACGTGTTCGCCTTCCTGTGGCTCATGAACTTCGTTATCGCGATGGGTCAGTGCACTCTGGCCGGGGCCTTCGCCTCCTACTACTGGGCCTTCCACAAGCCACGGGACCTGCCGGCCCTCCCCGTGGCGGCGAGCTTCATGAGAGCGCTCAGGTGTGTGGGACCTCTCGGGTGTCAGCCGCGGTCAGAAATCGTGGCTCAGGTCTCACTGGGTTAGAAGTGCGTTGGACAGACCACTCTTCAAACCTGAGAAAAAGGGCATTTTTGGACCTGGTGTGGCTTTTCTGGGATTGTTGCTGTTTGGTTATCAATGAGCATCCCCTCCCAGACAGATCCACCACTATAGCCTCAACAAACCCTTGCTCCACCTCTCCACCAACGATGGAAAGGAAATATCTGACTGGATAACACGAGTCACATATTTGGCTGTGGTGCAGTAAATTACCTGCATGTGGCACGAGCCTGGTGGCAAGATGTTAACTCGCTCAACTGACATGCACGGTACCACCTGATGACGGAGACTTGTGTTGCCTCCCAAACGTCGTGATTTATCATTTTATTTCTATTATTATTTCTATTATTTTTATGTTATTTTTATTATTATTTATTTTTACCTACGTGACTTTACCGAAAAAACCTAAGAGTATGAATCCTTGCAGTCACGAAAGCTTCAAATCTAGAATTATTTAGAGGAGACGACCACTGCCCTATTGCTCAGGTTAGCAAGGAGGCCCTTTGAGTTGAGTCTGCGAATATACGAATGAGTGTTGCTTGTGTCACGGACAGGTATCACACCGGTTCCCTGGCCTTCGGGGCACTCATCATCGCCATCATCCAGCTGATCCGGATCATCCTGGAATACATGGATCACAAGCTCAGAGGTGCGGCGCTGAAACTACAGCAGGGTCGGCAACAGATTCTCCTTTCAGAGTCACGGCCACCGCGATTCAACCGGATTCTGCCAGCCCAGCAACGTCCCCGCTGGGATCCTCGTTTTGCACCAGGGCCTGATTCCTTAAAACAAGTTTAGCGAGTATTTTATTAATTAATTAATATCTTTACATTTCAAAATCAGCTCAAGGCTCCCGTAAATCACGTGATTGTTATGTGGCCACCTACACCATAGATCCCTCTCCCCGCCGCCCACTGTGAAAACAGACGCCGCTCCGTGCAGCTCAATTCTGTTCACTCCGTACTTCTTTCCCGCTCCCTTCCCTTCCCTCTCATCATTGTCATCACCATCATCATAATCACCATCATCATCATCGCCCTCTCATCATCCCCGACATCTTGGCCTGGTCGTCCCTTCTCCTCCCATTCCCAGTCCTTTCTATCTCCACATGTGTTACATCCTTCACGTGTTGCAGCCATGGATGAAGACTTTTCATAGGAAAATAAAAACGTGGTTTTGTGCGACCCGGCACAGTGCTTCGGCCTCCCCCACTCAATCCCCTCCACCCGCTACCCCCTCCCCTCCCGTCCGCGACCACGGGGTCTGGGTTAGATGGTGAATATTTAAAATTACAGTAAAAAATTTCATTTTATTTTCCACCTTTGCGAACACACACGGGAAGTCGAGCCCAAGCAAGCGGCGCCGCAATCCGTGCATCTCGCTCCCACGCCGACTCCGTGACGCGGGATTGAACTCGGGCGGCTGGCTTCGTAGCGCAGTGCGCTCTCCGTTGTGCAGCTGGACATAAGCACGCCTGCGATGAGAACAGTTCTGGTATCGTCAACAGTGCGCTCAATCAATCGGTCTTCACTTTACGTGCCGATGTCGCCACCGTGCACACGACAGCAGAGCGGGAACGATTGATTGAGCAGACGGTTGACGATACAGGGGGGCGCAGAGCAAAGGGAACGAAATGATAGACCCGTCACGACCTCGGCAGGCTAACACCGGCTGGGCAAAATAAATTGCAACCCGTGCACAATGAATAGCATGATGAAAATAAGTATGGAATAAAATAAGTAATGAATAAATACGCTTTACACATTCCTCTTTTCTTTCCCTTCTGCTGCTGATACAAGCACGCTGCTTCCGATATGAGCACAGCTGGCCTCGATCACAAGGGTCGTGCTGTATCCAGCCTCCAACATCATTTATCCTCTACGCGGCAGCTCACACTACGCTTTTCCCTCCTGCTTCTTCCGGCGTACCGCTCCACTCCAGAAATCCCCTCCCATCGACTCTCGCTCGTGCCAAGCTCTCGTAAAATCCAAGAAACGCGTTCCGCTCTCACCGCTTACAACTGCCGCGGTGCTGTTTGTCGCTGGCCGCTTGATGGTGTTTTGGGCCTTTGGGCCCTGCGTTTAACAAACGTGTTACAAAAAGAAATCACCCCCGTGTGAAAGGGGAGGTGTTTATGTTTTTTTTTTAAGTGAGGTCCAATTTACTGATGAGTTGTAATACAGGAATACAGAAAAAAGTTTGTGCTCGCACAAAAATAAATATGCCGCCTATTAAGGCTGGCCACCTTTATCTCTGAAAATGTTGATGTCTACGCACCGTTCCAGGTACTCAAGGCTTGAGTCGTTCTAGGGGAGGCCCAGCAACGGTTCAGATAGACGTGACTGGTGTGGACTTTGAGTGGGAATCCAACTCGGGTTACCGGGTTCATAGGACAGCGTGTGTACTGCTACACGACCGCTCCAACGTGTGCACACTCACCATTGGAACCTCATTTGCCAGTAAAAAATATGACAATTGTTTTTTTACCCTTTTATCTGGCAACAAAACTGACACCTTTTTTACAAGGAGTCACACTCATAAACATCAAAGCTTAAGATCCTCCATATAGTCTGTGAAAAATTGTTGGGGCAAGTGCTGTTAGCAAGCACCTTATTGAGACAGACAAAAAAGGCAAAGACACAGATCCCCCATATAGCCTGTAACGGACTTTTGCGGCAAGTGCTGTTAGCGAGACACACACACATAAGAACCCCACTGCACAGACACACGGACGTGATGTGTGTGCGTGCCTCCCGTTTCTGCATCACAGGGGCAGAGAACCGGGTTTTGAAATTCCTGCTCTGCTGCCTCAAGTGCTGCTTCTGGTGCCTGGAGAAGTTCATGAAGTTCATCAACAGGAACGCCTACATCATGGTGACGCAGCCGCAAAGCAGCAGCTACTCACTTTCCGGCCGTGTGGCATCGTGCACAGGAAGGCTCGATCGTTGTCAATCTCGCTCCGTCTCCCATCACATTGCACATCTGTCTTGTGCCGTGTCCATACGTCAATTAACACAACATTGGCATGGCATTAGTGCACGCTTGGTACGTAATTCGTAATAGATTTTTGGGTTAGGCCACAATGGTCAAATTTGGGTCGCAAAAAACCCCTCCACCACCTGACGTAGCGATCCAGGAAGTCAGAGTTTCTTTCCCACCTTCATGACCCGACTTGGGCGAGCTGCGGTGCTGTACCGGTTATCAACAACCGGTACACCACCGGTTCTCCTCCACCTCACGGCACGGCAGCCGGAACAACGGTGCGAGTTCTTAAATCGCCCCCCCCCCCCGCCACCGCCTCCGTCCACCCAGCAGTATAAACGAGTGCAGCTCAGAGGTCGCAACCGGGTACCCGATACCCGTACCCTACCCGATACCCGGCTACCCGTACCCGGCCGGGTATGGGTAGCCGTTTGCGACCCTGGTGCGGCCAGGTATGGGTAGGCCGTGAGTCACTGTGAGTAACCGTTTGTCACTCATTTCGGGTAGGGTACAGGTACGGGTAGGGAACGGGTACCTGTACCCTGCCGGGTACAGGTACGGGTACCCATTTGTAACCCTTGTGTGGCCGGGTACGGGTAAGGAATCAAAACCCGTTTGCGACCTCTGGCGCAGCTCAAGTCTATCGGCAGGTCACGCGCGCTGGGGTAAAGTGTGAGTACACCTAAATCCTCCGAGAGGTCAAGTCGGCGTGGAAGAGTCAGACCGAATATAGCCTCTCGATCGGCACCGAACGGAGGCCATTCTGGCGGCGGCGGCGGTGGCGTTAGCAACGAATGCAAAACACGAAGCATCTCGACTGCGTGCGAGCGCTCGCGTTAGGAGCCGAGAGGCGTCTCTCCGTGGCAACCGTCCAACAGCAGCAGCAACAACAACAGCAACAATAAAAATGGGCGCATTTCACCGGCGCAATTTTCCCATGGGGCTCTCTGCGACCGCTCGTGGTGCCGCGCTGACTCCACGCGTGTCCCCTTCGCGCAGATCGCGATTTACGGAAAGAACTTCTGCGTGTCGGCGAAGAACGCGCTCTCGCTGCTCATGAGGAACATCGTGCGGTGAGTAGAGGCCGAGGTTGCGAACCTGCGCGGCCACCACGATGCGGCGTTGCCGGCGATGGCGTGGTGCGGGAATTGATTTGTACCGAGATCTGGTATCCAGTATCGTGTTGAACTTTGCCTTATTACAGCAGACCGCACAGTTGTGATAGACCACGGATGACTGAGAGATGTGTCTGGGTTTGCCAAATCACTCACCCACTCATAAGCCGAGCCACTCAGTAACTCACCCACTCAACGCACCCACCCACTAGGGTTGCCACCTCTCCGGGAATTGACATTTTATTCAAGTGGCAGGAAATGATTTTGTACCGAGATCTGGTACCGGTATTGCGCTCAACTTCATGACAGTAAACTGCACAGCTCCGACGGAAGACCTGTTGCTGCCTGTGCGTACGGTTTGGTCTACGGCAGAAAAGGTCGCGACCCTAACCGTGGCAACGATGCTCTGTGCCACCAGGGTCGTGGTGTTGGACAAAGTCACGGATTTCCTGCTGCTGCTGGGAAAGCTGGTGGTGGTGGGTGGAGTGGGTAAGCAACTCCTGAACACAACACGCAACCCGAACAGCAACCAAGAAGCAGCAACCCATCCCACGGCTTTCACAGCCAACACCTGACCTTTGAGGGTCACTGATGCAGTCTCATTCCCCCTGCCCTCCCCAAAATCTGCCATGAACCCTTATTGTTGCACACGTCATTCAGTGTCAGATTTGCCTGCACTGCCCCGTCTTATCAGTCTTATCATTGCCACCGTCTTGCAGTACGTCTTCATTTTCTTGCACAGCTGACACATCCTCTCTTACAGTCTCATCGTCACCGGTAGCTTCCCCTAGCTACACAGCCGATATTCTAGTTATCTGCGGTCATTCTGCAGACAACTATGTATGTATGTTGGACTTCTTTGTATGTAAGTATGTATGTTGAACTTATTTCGCACCGTACGTAGCCAACCGTGATAATTGGAGGTGCGCGGGAAGGTCACCCGGAAGTAACTACGGATCGTTCCTGTTTCCTGCATTCATCTGGATTTTTGCGAGAAACAGAACCTGCAAACAGCGTTTCCACCCTCCCCTCCTCCTCGTATTGCCGTGTACGGCTATGCGGTCCCCTTGTTTGTGCTGTCCCTTCAAGGCAGCTCGCTATCGTGTTGAACTCCACTGCAGTAAAACTGCACAGTTTCTTTTACAGGCCTAAGTGCTGGCTGAGAAAACACGCTCAGGTTTGGTCTCCAGTGGGGATCGTGGCAGCCCCACACGTGGGAGTGGAAGGGGGCCCTCTATACGTTTACATTATTATTGATCAGAGCCCAGAGAGCTGTTGGTCGATGTGGACAGCAGGGTGGTGGTGGTCACGGAGGCTGGAATCCGCTCCGGAGTGATGACTCTGAAACAGAATCAGAATCTTTATTTGGACTTCGAGGAGGAATCCGATGAGCTATAAAGCTCTTTTTCTACAGATTTCCAGTAGGGGCACGGGGTCAGAATGTTACAACGACAAACAATATGAAAACACGATAGGAGTGCAAAGTTTAAGAACGGTAAGCACATCACTAATATATATACCTACGTTTATTTGACCAGGTGAGGCCCACTGAGCGATTATAGCTTCTCTTTCAGAAGCGACCTGGCCACAAATAACAGCTCAAGGAAGTGGCTCGTCACGTGGACATTTATAGCGGCCACATAATCACAAATAACCTGAACGCGTGACTCAGTTTGGGTTTTTTATGGCCATTTCTATCTTTGCTTCTTTGCCGATCTGAGTTTTTTTTGCCTTTTGTCGTTTCCGCCTCCCTCCCTCCCACCCTCCCTGCTTCCCTCCCTCCCACCCTCCCTGCCTCCCTCCCTCCCACCCTCCCTGCCACCCTCCCTGCCACCCTCCCTGCCTCCCTCCCAGGAGTGTTCGCATTCTTTTTCTTCAGCAACAGGATCATGATTCCTGACACACCGCTCGTCCTCAACTACTACTGGGTTCCAATAGTGGTGAGCGAGCCGACGTGCTGAGAGGTCGGGGTGACATTATACACCTGGACCCAAACACGCAGAGATTCGATTTTTTCGTGACTTCGCAGGCAGATGCAAAGATTGAAACCAGCCGGGAAGCCGCTGCGACCTGTGCGCTTTTAAATCTAGATTGAAAACTTACTTCTTTAGAAGCGCTTTTTGTGTTAAGTTTGTTGTCCTTATAAATAATAACAATTCCATTTAAATGTCGCCTTTCATCCAGGATCTCAAAGCGCTGTACAGGACACAGCAGTAGCAGACACTCAGTATAAAATAATTATATTATACATACATTTTAATAATCTATTTACTAAATTAACTAAATTTGAATAAGCAGAAGCATATAAATAGGTTTTAAAACGCATTTTTAAAATGTCCACAGACTCAGAGATCCGATTAGCATGGTTGGTTATGTACGGTGCAAAAGAAGTTCAATGTACATACAGAGCGAGCAGCTCGCAGTCGCAAGGCTGTGAGTTCAAATCCTGGTTGTGTGAGTTGACTCGGCCCATCATCGCCTCCAGTATCAATAAAATGAGTACCACTTTGTGGAAAAGGGACCGTCCATAAATGACGTCACGCACCTGGGGTGGGGGGATTCAGACATTTGTGACGATGTGTGACGATGGGGGGGGAGGGGGGGTTGAGAAATGTGACGTCACATCAAAATTCGCAACTTTAGATAAATATAGACAATACTATCTACTTAATTAAATAGACTTTTTAATAAATGTTTTCTCCTACAACATCAGAGTGCAGCGCCACATTAAATACGCACTACAATGACAATAGTTTAAAGCGATTTGAAGCATTTTTTTTGGGAGGGGGGGGCAGAGCTTTGTGACGTCATATTTGAGGGGGGGTCTGACTTTTTGTGACGCCGTGTGACAAAGGGGGGGGGGGGGGTCAAAAATCGTCCAAAATCGCGTGACGTCATTTTTGGACGGCCCCAAAGTCAACAGAGGTTGTCCGATAGAAAGACTCGCTGCTCGTCAAAGGAATGTGGAATTTCCACAGCTGGCTGAGGGCCGTGGACAGGAGATGAGCACCGCCCCCATCGCATGGCGAAATCTCCTCGCTGTTGCTGTGCCGTAAAATGGGAATTGATTTTGTTTTGTGTCACGTGATGGAAAATCTACCAAACGCGCCAGCGAATTTAATTTCTGCGTGTCGCAGCTAGAGGTCAACAGCGTCCCTTTAATTGCCAACCTCACATGTGTGGATGGTGGAATGTTGACGCAGGAGGTCGGGATACAAAGATGTAAGATGTACTGTAGAATATCCTTGACCAGATCTCGTGCAGTAAAATCTTGTCACGTAACGGGGCTCTGTCTTTGCCGAATTATCCAATATTCCGAATTGTTTACAATGGTTACTCCCCAGTGCCTCCTGCCCCAAATACAAAAAACAGGAATGTATACTTCAGTCCCTAGATATTCCTTCTCGATGTAGGTGTGGACGACTTGTCTGAGAGGGTTGGCTTGCAGAGTGCACAAACAAGGTCAAATCCGAAGCGACGGATCTGCACCAATGCTCACCACACTCACCACGCTCGCCACGCTCACCACACTCACTATGCTCACCACACGCTCCACGCTCACCACCCTCACCACACTCACCATGCTCCACACTCACCACGCACGCCACGCTCACCACACTCACCATGCTACACGCTCACCATGCTCACCACGCTCGCCACCCTCACCACACTCACCACACTCACCACGCTCGCCACGCTCACCACACTCACCATGCTCCACACTCACCACGCACGCCGCCACCAGACTGAGTCGTTGTTTTGGTCGTGGCGCGAGGCGTCGCTCCACGTGTGTGCAGAAATGGGACCGTTCAGCTCATGGCGAATTACTAGGACACATTGTGTGTGCCCAAAGCACAGCCGTGCCGAATAACCCCCAATTACGAATGATCAAATACCGAAAGAACGAGATTTTACTGTCTCTATGTCTGGGGGGGTGGGAACCCAAAACTAACATTCAGATAAAGAGCCAAATCTTATATTATCTAGATTTATATAACGCCTTTATTCAACGCGCTTTACTTTAATTATAAAAAAGGTACATGTAATGAAAGTGGCTGTGATTTAAACAAAAAGTGTTGCTTAGAAAAGTTGCCGTGGAGTTCTGGTGATAGTTGTGAGAGCAGGGAGGAGAGGTCAAGGAGGGGTTGGGGTAGTGATAGGGGTTGATAGGGGTAGTGATAGGGGAAGTAATAGGGGAAGTAATAGGGGAAGTAATAGGGGTAGTGGTAGGGGTCATCTAAACATCCTATCGGAAGCGATAGGCTGTTTAGATGAAGAAATCTTCCCACAATGCAATGTGCCAGCAACATGTTATAATATGAAGACAAATGTACGTTGATCTGTCATGTGACCGTTGTTTTTTGCCCTGATTTCTATTTGCTTCGTTGCTGTACTTTTCATTCCTTTCTTTACCTTTTGTCATTTCGATAAAGACTCAGGTCGCTCTTGAGAATGAGACTCCTAACCTCTAGAACTCAAACTAAAGTCGACACTTGGCTGGTCGTGACCCTGACGTTTGCTGCGGTTCAAACAGACGGTGGTCGTGGGCTCCTACATGATCGCGCACGGATTCTTCAGCGTCTACGGCATGTGCGTCGACACGCTGTTTCTCTGCTTCCGTAAGTGTCGCCCAACGCGAGGTCGAGAGGTCGTCACGTCCGTCGATGCCACCGCTCCTTGCCGTCGACATGCCCCTCGTGGAAGTGCATTTGCTCGCTTTTATTTTTTGTGGAGGTTCACGGTTTCCAACCCGTTCAGGTCGCCCCTGGTTAATACTTTGGCTTTATTGATCGCAAAATACTTGTGACGCCTGCTTCACAGTGGACGTTATAGGTCCCGTGACGTCATTATAAAGTGAGTAGGACATTGTGTGCCGGCGTCGTGGTCTAAACTTGTCAAATGTTAAAAAAATTGCCTGCAAATTACATCGCAGCATTGGCCCCGACTGTGAAACTACTGCAGACTGTGGCCTGTGAAACACAGCACACTTAGGCTATGAGAATTGGCACAGACAATAGATTATTTTTTATTATCTCCATCGTTTTCTTCCTTCTGCGAGATCCCACAGTCGTTGCAAATTCAACACCCGACCTCCAAGCCCTGCCCTTATGCTATCCCACCGTCTGGCTTTAGGTCTTCCGACTGGCCACAAACCTCTGGGTGTGACTCCAATTCTAGATTTGAAGCTTTCGTGACTGCAAAGATTCATACTCTTAGTTTTTTCGGTAAAGTCACGTAGCTAAAAAATGAAATTAAAATTGATAAAAAATTAATAAAATTGTATTTTTATTAATTTGAATTTCATTTTTTACCTATGTGACTTTACCGAAAGAACTAAGAGTGTGACTCAAATGCCCGTCTCAATAATGTGCCCCCCTCCACCCCGCTGCACAACCTGCCCTGCTCAGCGCAACCTCCACCCCCCGCTGCACAACCTGCCTCACCCATCCCGCCCTGCTCCCCTTCACGTGCTCGTCGCTCCAGCGACCGAGGCCTCCTGGCAAAACTCGCAACCAACCTCGGCTCGGTGGGGAGGTCGCTCCTTCTCGTCGCCGCCGCGTCCCTGCCCTTGTTGATGTCCAGGCTCAAGGGCTTCCTCCCTGACCTCGGCCAGTGATTTGCCCCCCATCTGTAAAGTGCGCCTTTAAAAGTATCAACACCTCCCTTTCACACGGGCGATTTGTTTGAAAAGGCACAAATGCTCAAAATGTCCGAAGTCAGCAATTAAGCAGCACTACTAAACTTGCAATAGATAGGAGTGAACACATTTCTTGAATTGAGCAAGGTTATTACGAGATCTTGGGGAAAAGCGACGACGATGATGGAAGGGAATTCCAAAGTGGAGCAGTGCGAGGGAAGACGCAGCCAGAGAAGCGTTGTGACCTGCAGTGTGGTGGCGGTGGTGGGTGGGCGAGCAGTCGAGGGCGCGGTCGTGACCTCCAACGCGGCGGTTGAAGCCACTATGGCTGAGGCGAAACGAGTCACCCTGGGAGACCGAGTCCTCAACGTGGGTAGCGATAAAAGAGTGACATGGAGGCTGCAGACCGCCGGTGAGGAAGGCACGGGAGTGAATCGGCACGTCCTGATATTTTGCACGGGGCCTGGAGATACGGTCTGCGGTTGTGTCGATGCCCTGGTTGCGTGGGCCTGACGGTGGCGTTTAGAATGACGCGTCCCACCCTCGCCCGGCAGTGGAAGACCTGGAAAGAAATGACGGCTCGGAGGAAAAGCCGTACTTCATGCCCAAGTCCCTGCTCAAGATTCTCAACAAGAAAAACAAGGCGCCGAAGGGAGCGGAGTGAAGGTGCCGAGCCTCGCGCACACTCACAGCGCCACCATTCTCACACCAGAGCACTGAAAGACAACGATGCCCCAAATATCCATTTCACAGATTGTTGGGGCAAGTGCCGTTCGCTGAGCAATTACGAAGGCCGGCACGGTACAGGATGCGGTGGGTGGCCAACACCACGTCCGGCCGCCTTTGTCTCCCTAGTGGCGATGTTTACACACCGCACCGGGTATTCATTTGAAGCTGAATCGACCTAGGGGAGGCTCAGGACCGGTTCAGATATTTGTCACTGATGGCCGTCAGCCGCACGCTAACCACGACCCAACCGCAGCGGGACGGGCACATGCTCAGAGCCTGACAGTTAAAACCGCGTGAGGAATCACATTCCCAGAAACAGGTATTATCAAAAACGGTCAGGAACCATTGCTGCTGGATAAAGGCCTCCGCATTCCGTACTCTTTACAAGTGTGGGTTGGGGAAGGTTGGGGAGTAGCAGGACTCAGTTTGTTGTGTTCATAGTGCACTGCTCTATCCACTGCTTCACTGCTGCACACCCCACGTGATGAAATTGGTGGGAAAACGTCGCGTGCCTGGCCTGTTCTACGGCTGCCTATTCTAAAAGGGCATATTTTCTTTACCCAATACATGTGCATAACAAATAACAATCATCAACAGACGCTGCCTATCCACTGCTGGGTGAAGAAGAAGGCCTCCCCATGCCAGCGCTATGCCCCACGGTCCTGCGATGCCACAGCCTGCATCTCGTGAACTGGTCTTCCGTCGCTCCGTCTCCGCAGTGGTCGTCGTCTCCTTTGGCCGCCATTCTGGCACACGAAGCCGTTGCCCATCGGCTATCATCGCCAGCTGGCAATGTGTGTGCCGTCTGCGCCCCGAATTCCTGAACCGACAATATGACCGCACGTGTTTCATGATCGATATGCTCCCTCCTCTCTCTCTCTCTCGTTACATCGATACATCCAAACGTGCGCCTTAATGCTTCTTTGCGCACTTAATTGATTCAGGCGCATCGCGTTGTACGAATAACCTGTCGCACCGTATGCCTTAATCCGGTTAATCACAAATCCCTGGTCTTTACACTTTATACATCAGTGGACAATATATGTAGACAGTATTGTTCATTATGCAAGTCAATGTATGGATGCCATTGAATAAGGTTATATTTCTTGTTTGTAATTAATGCCGCGTGTAGATGTTGAGCATCTATGAATGGACAGTGAAAATTACCTGTGTTTATATATATACTATCCACACGGTATATATGATGTTATTATATTGCGGTCATTACAAATATTGCTTTGTGGTATTTTGTTGAGCATTTTTTTTTCAACATTTTCAAAGCATGATAATGTATCGATCATTTAATTAGTTCATAAGAGCAGCCCATATAAAGCCAGTCCCATCGCAGATCCTGAATGTATTTTTGTATTTTATTACAATACATCATCTGGAAAGTTCCTTCAGATGGACGGACGTCTCGTTTGCAGGGGTGTCCGAGGATGTCTATAGTATCGGCACACGGAGTAAGCAATATGATGACAGACTTCACGGTATATCCAAACTTGTTTGACATTCTATGGCTTATACAGAATAACGTTTACAGGATGTCAAATACATTTATGGGGCATTGAGAACCGGGGCCAGACAATGTCTGGCAGTCTCACACCTGAACAAGGAGCCTCGCCATCAGACGTTCATCTCGAACGTTCTCTATCCCTTACAGTGGCAAATGTTTTGCAAGCGTGAGATCTGGGCTGAGATGCAACCATAGTTATGAATAAAAGAACAACAGAAACATCAACACGTTCGTCAATAACAGTGTGTGGCCGAAAGAGAAAAAAACGATGTAATAGGTGGTGACGTTTTGGGGAATTGCTCTTCTTTTAGGACATTTTATTTTGATGGTTCGACGCCAGGGCTCTTTTAAGGACTGCAGCGCAGATCTTGAAATTCGAAACAAAATAAATGGCTCTTCTTGTTATTTCGATTGCCGAACCCCTGACCATGTAAAGTCCAGTTCACCATGGGAGTCCAGTTCACCATGGGAGTTGAGTTTACCATGGGAGTCCAGTTCACCATGCGAGTCCAGTTCACCGTGTTAGTCCAGTTCACCATGGGAGTTCAGTTCACCATGCGAGTCCAATTCACCACGGGAGTTAAGTTCACCATGGTCAGGGGTCATCAGCCTGCGGCTCCAGAGCCGCATGCGGCTCCTGAAGGACTGCTGAGTGACATTTATTTATTGAGGGCCATCGTCTCGTGTTCACCACTTGAAATCGTTTTTTTACCGAATGCGAACAGAAATGTCTCTTCTTGTTTTGATTACCCGACCCCTGCTCTATGCAACGAACAATTGCCCAAAACTCCCTTACGTGCTGTGCACAAAGGTCTTTCCAGAAACGTCGCCGATTACAGCGTATATTTTCCTTGTAAGGCCACAGTGTTGTCGAGGAAGGTGGCGAGTTGTTTGTGTTGTTGTTGTTATTCACTGTGCCTTGTGCATCGCAAACGACGCAGCAGCTGCATGAACCAAATAATTCGTCCCAAGTTTTACGTCGTGAACGTCAGCTGCCTCTATCATTTCATATTTCCGCATCTCTCTTTTGAACCCCAGACTTTCTCGCCGTGTTTAATAAAGGCTGCCGCTGTAATTTAACAAAATAACTAGTTTATAAAAAAACTAAACCTTGTGTTTTATTTATTTATCTGTCTCGAGACGATTTTTTTTTCTAAGATGCAATATATGAATGAATAAACCAATCCACTGTCACATTGCTTGATGGCTGCTTGCGTGACGTTTGCTGTTGTGATCTGCAGTGTGGTGAGTGAGTGTGCGGGTGAGAAATGAGTGAGTGGGTGAGTGGATACGTGAGTTTGTAGGTGAGTAGGAGAGTGAGTGGTTGACTTGTTGTGATTTGCAGTGTGGTGAATGGGCGAGTGAGTGCGGGTGAGTAATGAGTGAGTGGGTGAGTGATGGGCACGTGAGTTTGTAGGTGGGTGGGTGATTAGTGGGAGAGTGAGTGAGTGGTTGAGTCAGTAAGTGGGGCAAGTGGGTGTGTTGTTGTGACCTGCAGTGTGGTGAGTGGGTGAGTGTAATGTGACCTGCAGTATGGTGAGTGAGTGGGTGAGTGTTGTTGTGACCTGCAGTGTGAGTGAGTGGGTGGGTGTAATGTTGTGACCTGCAGTGTGGTGAGTGAGTGAGTTGTTGTGACCTGCAGTGTGGTGAGTGGGTGAGTCGTTGTGACCTGCAGTGTGGTGAGTGGGTGAGTCGTTGTGACCTGCAGTGTGGTGAGTGGGTGGGTGAGTGTTGTGACCTGCAGTGTGGTGAGTGGGTGAGTGTGTTGATGTGACCTGCAGTGTGGTGAGTGGGTGAGTGTGTTGTTGTGACCTGCAATGTGGTGAGTGAGTGAGTCGTTGTGACCTGCAGTGTGGTGAGTGGGTGAGTGAGTGAGTTGTTGTGACCTGCAGTGTGGTGAGTGGGTGGGTGAGTGTTGTGACCTGCAGTGTGGTGAGTGGGTGAGTGTGTTGATGTGACCTGCAGTGTGGTGAGTGGGTGAGTGTGTTGTTGTGACCTGCAGTGTGGTGAGTGGGTGAGTGTTGTTGAGACCTGCAGTGTGGTGAGTGGGTGGGTGAGTGTTGTGACCTGCAGTGTGGTGAGTGGGTGAGTCGTTGTGACCTGCAGTGTGGTGAGTGGGTGGGTGAGTGTTGTGACCTGCAGTGTGGTGAGTGGGTGAGCGAGTGAGTCGTTGTGACCTGCAGTGTGGTGAGTGGGTGGGTGAGTGAGTTGTTGTGACCTGCAGTGTGAGTGAGTGGGTGGGTGTAATGTTGTGACCTGCAGTGTGGTGAGTGAGTGAGTTGTTGTGACCTGCAGTGTGGTGAGTGGGTGAGTCGTTGTGACCTGCAGTGTGGTGAGTGGGTGGGTGAGTGTTGTGACCTGCAGTGTGGTGAGTGGGTGAGTGTGTTGATGTGACCTGCAGTGTGGTGAGTGGGTGAGTGTGTTGTTGTGACCTGCAGTGTGGTGAGTGAGTGAGTCGTTGTGACCTGCAGTGTGGTGAGTGGGTGAGTGAGTGAGTTGTTGTGACCTGCAGTGTGGTGAGTGGGTGGGTGAGTGTTGTGACCTGCAGTGTGGTGAGTGGGTGAGTGTGTTGTTGTGACCTGCAGTGTGGTGAGTGGGTGAGTGTTGTTGAGACCTGCAGTGTGGTGAGTGGGTGGGTGAGTGTTGTGACCTGCAGTGTGGTGAGTGGGTGAGTCGTTGTGACCTGCAGTGTGGTGAGTGGGTGGGTGAGTGTTGTGACCTGCAGTGTGGTGAGTGGGTGAGCGAGTGAGTCGTTGTGACCTGCAGTGTGGTGAGTGGGTGGGTGAGTGTTGTGACCTGCAATGTGGTGAGTGGGTGGGTGAGTGAGTGTTGTGACCTGCAGTGTGGTGAGTGGGTGAGTCGTTGTGACCTGCAGTGTGGTGAGTGGGTGGGTGAGTGTTGTGACCTGCAGTGTGGTGAGTGGGTGGGTGAGTGAGTGTTGTGACCTGCAGTGTGGTGAGTGGGTGAGTGTTGTGACCTGCAGTGTGGTGAGTGAGTGGGTGAGTGAGTGTTGTGACCTGCAGTGTGGTGAGTGGGTGAGTCGTTGTGACCTGCAGTGTTGGAGAGTCTAACACACCAACCGTGTGGATGAGACGCCACGAGGCAATCCTCGGCACGCCGTGAAGTGATCACCCAACAATCGACCCCCAGGCTGAGTGACTCAGACTGAGCGATGTCGAAGCCGCAGTATTCAGGATCCGACCGTCCCGCCGGTTTGTGGCGAGCGGCTTGGAACCGAATCGACGACCTCCCGAGCTCAGCAATCACCATCGATCTGCTCCTCTAGCTTCAATCCCACCACATTCATCATTGGTGACGTTAAGTGGCGGTGCGATTGCATCGCCATCCACATCACCCCTCTGGACAGGGGGGGGGGGTCCAGTGCGCGTTTGATCGGAGCGCGACAGTAACGCGCTGCTCATCACCTCGAGTCATTACGGCACCACCCTGAACAAAGTCATCATCACCACCACTCGGGATTGTGAATATTTTTGAGTGCGCGTTTTGTAGGAGCGCGACGGTAACTCGCTGCTCGTCACTTCTAGTATTTACGGCACCACCAACCCACCACCCTGAACAAAGTCATCATCCCAACCACTCGGGATTGTGAATATTTTTTGAGTGCGCGTTTGATCGGAGCGTGACGGTAACGCGCTGTTCGTCACCTCGAGTCATTACGGCACCACCAGCACCAGTCCCACCACCACCACTCCCTGCTAAGCCACTGTGGATTGTGAAGATTTTTTGTAGTGCGCGTTTGGTAGGAGCGCGACGGTAACGTGCTGCTCGTCACCTCGAGTCATTACGGCACCACCCACCACCACCACGCTTAACAAAGCCGTGACAACCACATGGGATTGTGAGGGTTGTTTTAAGTGCGCGTTTGATCGGAGCGCGACGGTAATGCGCTGCTCGTCACTTCCAGTATTTACGGCACCACCATCACCACCCTGAACAAAGCCATCATCACAACCACTCGGGATTGTCAGATTTTTAAGATGCGCGTTTGATCGGAGCGCGACGGTAACTCGCTGCTCGTCACATCGAGTCATTACGGCACCACCACCCTCCCTGCCAAGCCGCTGTGATTGTGAAGATTTATTTTATTTTTTGTAGCGGAGCAACAACGAGAAGCGAGAAACCCGGGGGAGCCTCTCCTGCCTCGGCCGCGGCGACATAACGGGACCACCACCCTGCTCCCGCTTTGATGTTTAACCGTGAGGACGACAACAACAACAACAAGATCCGGGTGAGCCACGGGCGCTGTTGACAATTCATAAAAAATTATGATTTTTTTTTTTAAAACCCCATTGACTGTGGTCACGCGTTAAACTGCACCGTGTGAAGACGACGCACTGCGTACACACGCGAGTGTGCCATGCATTGCGCTGTATGGGTGTAGAACAAAGCTCCCACCGTATCGTCTTGGACAGGCTGGTGGCGACGCCCGGCCGCCTTTGTCTCCCCAGTGCTGCTGCTTCTCTATACAGACACTACGACCCTTGCTCTAGGGCCGAGCTGAACGAGTGAGGCGGCTCAGGACCAGTTCAGATAATAGCCACTGACGTTTAGCGGAATAGATCTAAACAATTATCGAGTAATAAACCACTATCTACTCAGTATATGCACAGCAACTGCATACTGAACGTTAATCATCATCATCATCATCCATGGTCAATCCAGAGCCGGATGAACGCCTAATTTATTCGAATGCAGTATCGACTACATACATTTATTAAGAAGTTAACCATTTCTTATTGCAACACATGCATATACAGTACGTATAACATTAAGTACAGTTCAACAATGTACTGTACGTACTGTACATTCACACGTGTGTGTGTGTACAATGTCGGCGCGTGCACATTGCCTGTATGCAGGCGCAGCCCTGCAAGTGCTTGCTTCCTCCACTGCTGGCGGAAAGGGGCCTACCGCTAGAGGGAGCTCGAGATCGATGCTCGGTCTCATCAGAATCTGAATATTTATTTAGACGACAGGAGGAATCCGATGAGCTATGAAGCTATTTTATTTAAAAACAGATATCCAATTGGGGCCCGGGTTAAGAACGTTACAACAACAAACAATACAAAGACACGAAATGAGTTCGAAGTATAAGGAAGATGAACAGATCACCCAAACGCACACAAATACAACACTAACCCACCCACATCCTACCAGACAAGCTCACTGAGCTATTAGCTTATTTTTCAAAGGCGACCTGCCTACCACAATTAATAGCTCAGCAAAGTGCCCCAGCATTCAAGACATTTACAGCAGAAACATCTTCTAAATATTATTGGTTCTTTCGGTAAAGTCACGTAGAAGGGGAATAATAAAATAATACTACTTTTTTATGTTTTTAATATTTTATTATTTCCCTTCTACGTGACTTTACCAAAATAACCAAGTATATGAATCCCTGCAGTCACGAAAGCTTTAAATCAAAATCTTCTAAATATTGCATTCTCATTGGCGTTTGGAATGTCTCTGATTCTGACTCATTCATGGAACACAGATGCAATTGATGTTTATTTTTACTTTATTTACGTTCTTTAATATATGGTTCTGATCTAATTATGTCGATTCATATAATGTGGCATTTTTTTATGTCGTTATGATATTGTCGCTGTGAACCGTTTTCTGTTATCATTTTATTTGCTACAAGTCTAGTGGAACGCCATTTATGCCGTGTGCTTTGATTTCTGATATAATCCAGGTCACCCTTGTAAACAAGGCCTTGTTCACTTCTTGGTCTGAATGGGTTTCCATTTCTTGGTGAAATAAAGATTGGATTGCATTGAAATCCATATTTCTCTGGTATATGTCTGTTCTGAATACATCCCTCCCATTTATTATTTATGTGTAGATCATGGCTCTCAGAGTATTGTCAACCCAGGCTCTCGATTGAAACGTTTGCATTATAATTTGAGTGCTTTGATATGTCCCCAGTTTTTTTGGCAGCTAATACAACGACAGGGGTTGGAGCACGTGGATTCTGCCACAGCGTCCCGTCATCATAGCACAGTCAACCTGCCCATGCACGGGGCCTGCCAATCTGGCTCTACCCACCACCCCCTCGTGTGCCATGCCAGCTTTAATAGGTGCTCGCGAACAGCACTTGCACCATCGGAGGATCTTTTGTCTTCGTGTGCGTGCCCACATGCGTGCTTATCGCTAGGGGACACAGATGGTGCATGAGTAAATCCACGGCACCTGGGTCTGTCCCGTGACCTGCCAGCGATCATTCGACATTTCACGTGGCCTTAAAGTGTACATAGCCTGGCACAAGCGCCGCGATGACGTCACCGCCACTTAGTGGCAAATGACGATTGTTGTTGTTGTGCTAATCTCCCTTGACAGAGAAGAGACTGGAGCCCATGCCAGCACAAACGTGTGTAACAAGAGCAGCAGCAGCAGCAGCAGTATGTGGCCGGCCACTCCATGCCGCGCGCTGTCCCGCGCCTTCCTGGCGCGCCTGTGCTTCTGGTCGCTGGCGGCGCTCTCCGCCGTCTCTGTGGCACTGGTGCTGCTGCTGTCGTACGGCGACCGCGTGGAGGAGCGCCTGCTGCTCATGCAGCTGCCGTGGCAGACGCCCGGCTGCCGCCCGGACCGCTCGACCGGCGGCGTTTCCCCGCAGGCGCGAGCGCGGTTCCTCAGCTCCCCCGGCGAGTTGTGCCGCCCCGGGGCGGAGCCCTTCCTCCTGATCTGCGTGGCGAGCGCGCCAGAACACCGGTCGCGGCGCGAGGCCATCAGGGAGACGTGGGGCGGCGTGCGCAAGGTGGCGGTGGCCTCGGGTGGCGGTGGCGGTGGCCGGGCGCTGGACGTGCGCGTGGTGTTTGTGCTGGGAGTGACGCGCAGCGACCGGACGAGGGCCAGCGTGCAGAACGAGTCGGTGGAACGGCGCGACATCGTGCAGGCACGTTCCCCCCCCACCCACCCCTCTAACCTCTCTCTCACTCTCTCTTCCGTGATTCCGGTGAAGGCTTTGGTTAGCAGACTGGACTTGAAACCCAGAAGTCACCAGTTCTGTTTGGATATTTTCCGTGGTTGTCTGGCAAAAGTTCAAAGCTTTTTTATTGAAATGTCACCACAGAACTGCTTCAGTAACCTCACCATGGTGCCAGTCCCATATTTTTTTAAATATTCATCAGTGCAATTATGTCAATAGTGCACAACTGTGACTTTAAAGTGGTGTTGTACGATTGAGGGATGCTGACGTATAATGGTTCGCACACTGGACTTGCAATCCGGTGGTCGACGGTTCATTTCTACTTCTTGGCCGCAGAATTTCGAAAATTGTTTTTTAAATTGGGGCGCCGCGGTGGCGAGATGTTACTTGACTCGCCTGTTAAGAGGAGGTTGTGGGTTCGATCCCGACCCTGACGCCTGTATATTTGGAGGTTGCATATTCTCCCTGAAGTCACGTAAATTTTTCTCCGGGTCCCCCAGTTTTTCACTCCGTATTTAGAAACATGCTCATGCCTTACCCTAATTTTATATGCAGGCTTTCATGATCAATATTATTATTCATAATTAGTGTCTATAACCCTCCACCACTGGACAGAGCCAATCAAATCAAGTTGTCAAGTTCACAAATATCCCAAATGATTTGGTTTTCTAGCAATCCGGAGACATTTAGAAAAGCAAGCTACATTTTGATAATATTTATACGACGAGTCGATGGAGATGACAAACGGCATCATCGGGCCTTAAAAAACCTCAGCTCTTGCCTGACGCATGTGAGAGCTGCACAGCGCAACCGCGAAAACTTTACCCAGTGGCACGGCGGTGAGCGTTGTTCATTCGTCACGAGTCCGCTGACGCAGAACGTCGCCCCCTGCGCAGGCGGAATTCCTCGACACGTACCGCAACCTGACGCTGAAGACGATGGCGACGCTGCAGTGGTTCGTGTCACGCTGCCCCAGGGTGCGCTTCCTCCTCAAAGCGGACGACGACGTCTTTGTGAATCCGCACTCCCTGGTGGAACACCTGCACGGCGCTCACGGACCGGCGTCGCCAGCTGACGACGACTACGGTAAGCAACTTTGCAGAATGGAAATAATAAAAGAATAACAAATAAAACATTATTAAATAATTCCCACGACGTTTCGGTCACAACGCAGGACGGCTGCTTGCGTTGTGGCCGAAACGTCGTGGGAATTATTTTATTGTTTTATTTTTTATTATTTTATTATTTCCATTCTACGTGACTTTACCGAAATAACCAAGAAGATGAATCCCTGCAGTCACGAAAGCTTTAAATCGAAATTCAACTTTGCAGAGTTGAGCTTTGCAGGGGTAACTCAGGGGGTCAGAGCAAGCGATGAGCTGGCTCCGCAGAGAAGCTGGGTTCGAATACAGGTAGGCACACATGATTAAACCGGGTTCTGAAGTGTAGTAAGTTGATGATCTTAGCTTCTGGTGTGGATGCATGGTACATTGAGGGGTCTTCAGAAGCGGTTCTGCTGTGTAATTTTCTCGGGCTGCCGTCATTGTTGTACTGTTCTGTGAAAATATTTGAATGGAGTCTTAAGCACAAATAGTGCGAAATTAGGGTGAAATATGGGCAAATAACTGCCACGACCCAGGGGGCATGAGCAGGGCCTCATCCAGCAGCGGATGACACAAGGGCTGTACGTGTACAACCATTCATCACGAATCGTCAGCAAAGGACCATAGGCGCCAATTGTGTGACCTCTTGCATGACGAGAAATGTGCACCCTACAGGCACGTATTGTAATGTCAATTATTATCGAGCACATTCGGTATTCGTGCCTGAGAGCACAAGGTTATTACGACGGTGATGTGTTTCACAGACGAGTATAGTTTGCTAGTTGGGGAGCGATGTTGCTACGTGGTTCCAACTTTAGTAATTTGCAGCTAAATTTGTAAAAATTTGGGAAGTGTGGACCACGACACGGGCACACGTGGCCTGCGTCTTTTTTTCAGATAAGGTCACGGACTCTATTAACGGCCACTGTGAAGCAGATGGCACTGTTAGCTTTCGGTGAATACGCCCACAGTATTAACAAGGGCGGACAATGAGTTTGGCCTGCGAACCTCTGCGACAAGCAGCAAGCACGCTACCGTTATGTCGTGCCACCACGCCAGTGTCCGTAACAGCAGCATCATCATCATCCGTTTTTTCCCTCCGCATTTAGAATCAATGTGCGTTTAGAGAGTATTTGGCTGCTTTAAATGTCCACGTGATTAGCCACTTCATTGAGCTATAATTTGTGGCCAGGTCGCTTCTGAAAATGAGCTATATCGCTCAGTGGACCTTACCTGGTAAAATTATTTTTAGGCAGTTCATCATTAGCGGCAGCTGGAACAGCAGCAGCATTGACTGCCGTAACATTATGATCAGTGATGTAGCTTGGTTGGCATTGGTCCTGGTGCAAAGAATTAATTGTGGGGGGGGCCCTTGTCCAATTTCCACCCTCTTCCTAGACTGTCGCCTGTCGCCCTCCCACCCGTGGATCTTGGTGCATTCGCCGGGCCATGCCACCACGCCGAGTGTTTGTGTACACACGCTTGTGTTGGATGGTCACTGTTGGAACGCCAGGTGGCGGAGGCAAAGGCGGCGGTGGTGTTGGCGGCGGCGGCGGCGAAGGAGGTCATGACCTGTACCTGGGCCGCGTGCACTCGCGGGTGAGGCCGAACCGGGACCCGGCGAGCAAGGCGTTTGTGAGCGACGAGCGCTTTCCGGGCGACCACTACGCCCCCTACTGCAGCGGCACCGCCTACGTCCTCTCCGGCAGCGCGGCGCGCAAGGTGCGCAAACCCTAACATGCGGCTTCGTCGTCATCATCAACGTCATCATGATGGATGAAGGCCTCCCCTAGACGGTGCCATTCGTCATGGTTGTGCAGTGCCACAATCCCTCTGCACACAAGCCGATCTCATCAATCCGTCTCTGTAGTAGGCGTATGTTCGGGAATGTTTCCTCCTTTGACTGCCGCTCTGTCGTGAGTTTTCACCACAAGCCATGAGCCCTGCGAGGAACGTGGCCTGCCCAAGCCCAGTCACTTAGCATTGTAAAGGACAGATGTTGTTCTCTGATCAATGTGGTCCACTTTCCATCTCAGCATTGATTTCATGGCCCAAGCCCACTTACTTTTCACTACGATGTCTCCATGAATTTATTTTACTGGCTCCAAGGGTTGTTCCCAGTGTACTTCTACCTCTGGTCTTTTTGCGCAATTTTCAGCTTTTGTTCCATTAAATTATCAGTGTTCATTTCATATTTCCAATCAATATGCCATGGCAGGTAACATACACTGATTAAATACGTAATTTTGTTACCACTTTGGTATGTTGCTGATCATTATTGAGTTCAGTTTATTATTGTGTTTTATTGTTATCGATAAACACGTCTATATATATACCTCCTATTAACCGCTCTTGCAGTTATACGCGCCCCCGAGACGACCAGGTTGCTAGCGCCTATTAAGGCCAACATGGAACACCAGCGGGGCGGTGTTGCCAGCACCATGCCTGGCCATCTCCCAGGCGCTAATATTCACGTACCACACCAGGAACTCATTTAAGTCTGAGTCTACCCAGAGGAGGCTCAAGACAAGTTCAAAGACCGCTTATCACCGCTGTTATTTGTGGCTGGGAATCGAACTCTGGTGTCAGGGCCCGTAGTGCCGTACGTGAACGCCCGCTTTTATGTTTACTCTCTGCCACAGTGCAGCTTGTTAACCGTTCTTTCTCTCTCTGCCTGTCCATCCGCTCCTCCGCGCTCCCTCCTCCCGCAAGGTTCTATCCACTGCTCTGCTGCTGCCGGCGCCGCTGCTGCCGCTGGAGGACGTGTTCGTGGGTGAGTGCGCCCGGCGCGCCGGCCTGCGGCCATCGCACACGGCGCTCTTCTCGGGCTCACTGCGCCTGCCCTTCAACCGCTGCTGCTACGGCCGCATCTTCTCGTCGCACCGCATGGAGCCTGCCGACCAGCGGCGAGCGTGGAGCGTGCTGCGGGGCCCGCCTTGCTCGCACGTCGAGCGACTCGCCGGCTTCGCCGTGTGCCGCGCCCTCGGGATGATCGCCGGCGCCTGGGCCTCGCTCGTGGGGCGGCAGTCGAACATCACCGCGTCGGCGAGCGGATTCGCCTGACTGCCATCCGTCCCGACCCCCTTCTGGGCTGACGATTTGTGTGGAGGTGGACGGGCGTGGAGTTCGGAGGGGTTCATCACGGCCGTGTCGGTGAAGCAGGCAAGAGTGCTTTAGAGGGGTTCATCACGGCTGTGTCGGCGACAAGGGTGGCTTAGAGGGGTGCAGAATGGCTGTGTCGGTGACACTGGGCAGGCAGTCTGACACAAGTGTGAAACTTTACTGACGAAATTAAAACCCGCAGGACTGATCCAGTGACTTCACCTGGGGGGTGTCAATCAAATATATTTTTTATATATGTCAAAAGCTGTAAACCTGTGATTTTAAAGTGTTGTTTACTTGTTAATGGTGCCGCTGTGGTGTAATGATTAGCAAACTGGGACTTGCGATCCAGAGTTTGCCGGTTCAATTTCATCCGATCTCCTGGCACGGGCAGTTGTAACAACAAAGTTTCTGAAATCCAACCCCACTGCCTCTGTCCATCCAGCAGTGTAAATGGGCATCACCGCGGTTGATCATCAGTTTGCGTGTGGCGGTGTAAAGTGGGTTTTCCCACCTCTTCCAAGATGTCTGACCAGTGAGGAAGCATAGGCCAAGTACCATCTAGATATACTGTTTTAGAAGGGCTCAATCGGAGCTCCCTTCAAGTACCAGTAGTGGCACAAGCCGGAGTTTCACACTGATGCCAGACAGCGTAGGACGCTACCGATGTGTAATCTACAACGTAAACGTTTTCTGTGGTTGGGGTTGAGTCTTTAATTCGCTGTACACTTAAAACTACAGTCCACAAATAGGCTGCCGGGTAGCCTTGATGACTCATAATGGCCATGTTGGAGACAATGCACGGTCATCATGAACTTTCTGGCTGGATTATGCATAGGGTACCACGAATCATTTATTTCATTGGGCATTCTATTTTCAAATATTGACCCGCTGGAAATATTTGTCGTTAAACGATTGGAATTGATCTCATCGAGCTTCGAAAAGCACATGGAAGGACATCGCCTGTGTTGAACAATGCCTTGTGATAGAGGTACCACCAAGGCTTCTTTGCCCAGGAATTGGTCAAACCCTCATTGTGTGACTCGTAACAAAACAGTTTCAGTTTAATTTATTAGGATTTACCCTGTGAGGCATTCGGCTCTTGATTTGGGTTCAACCGCAACAAACAATAAAATTACAAGATACACCTAAAATTCATCGTACACAAATCTGAATATCACATACGTAAACAATAGAATCCTACAGAAAAAGCACAACCCGTCCAGGCTGCGTACAGAAAGTGCAAAAAAAATTTTCTATGTTTGATCCCAAGAACAATCATAATACAATACAGATAAAAAAACTAAGTATAAATCTATACTAAATAAAAAAAATGGGGCCAACCCAAGCCCCTCTAAAACTTACTAAAACAATGCTATATGAACAACGTAACAGTTTTCCCAACAGATGTGATTAAAAGTTTACAATAGCGACACACACAACACACATCACTAAACCCAGCATCCTTCACTAGCTGCATAAGTCAATCCATAACAGCCGGATTAACAATAGCAGTAGCATCGCACTATAATCAAAATACTTAATAAGTTTAGGCTCTCACTGGGTAGTTCCACAAAGTAGGCACATTGATATTTAACTTTTCATAATAATAATAATAGTGATAATAAAAATCTACTTTTATTATGCGCACATTTTCATGAAATCGCGAAAAAAATTCCATTCGTGGCACAGGAGGCGCACAGCGAGGCTTTGGGCTCCCCCTACGCCCAAGGGAACAGTCACCCGTCTCGATTTAAAGCTTTCATGACTGCAGGGATTCATCTTCTTGGTTCTTTCGGTAAAGTCACATAGAAGGGAAGTAATAAAATAATAATAAAAATATATAATAAAATATTTTATTATTTCTATTTTTATTATTTTATTACTACCCGTCTCTTTAAAGTGGTGGTGGGTTTGACACTACCGATTCGTGCTTATTGGGGCGTCATTTTAAAGACGATGATAATGCAGAAGACACGGCTTGTGAAGTAAGCTACGTACATGGAATGCACCATCACCATCCGAGCATTGATGGGAATATTCGGTGCAGAGTTCATCGGACAGCCCTTGCTGTTGGATGAACAATTCTCCCTTGTCAAGAGAGGTGGACATGTTATTTTAAAACATAAATTACAGTCCTAATTAGTCTTTGTTTTTTTCGGTTAAGTCACGTAGGTGAAAACAAAATAAAATAGAAATAAAACAACTACATTTATTTATTATTATTATTATTTTTCACCTACGTGACTTTACCGAAAAAACCAAAGAGTATATGGATCCTTGCAGTCACAAAAACTTCAAATCTAGAATACAGTCCTAATTGGTTGACTTAATATGCCCAAGTGTAAAGCCACTGAATGAGTATTATATTAATGATGTCCGACACCTTTAAGGTGTCTTGAATATACTCGTTTGCAGTTGCGATACTGAAATCTATGAATATAAGAGTTTTAGAACAAAAGTGCAACTGAAATTGCATTGGACTCATGTTCGACACATCACTGTATGTCTTTACTTGAGTAGAATAGAAGCCATATTTTTTATTTCCACGTATTGTTCAATAGCTTTTCTACGTTTTAATTATTTTACAAATTGTCGTGTGTCTGCGTGTGTCTGCGATATTTTAAAGTTTGCGTGAGAAGTCAACGGTATCAAAATCAGCAGTGGAATAGTAATGCTCATTTCTGTTGGGCACCCCAAATCAAGAGTTAAAATATCACATTCCTATGATGAGGATCATCACTACTGGTGACTTACCACAAAGTGGTACTCATTTTATTGAACCTGGAGTATATGATGATGATGATGATGGAGAGAGTTGGCTTTCAATGGGGATTTGAACTCATAACTTTCTGATTTGAGTCTAGTACCTTGGCATACCATCAACTGATTACGTCTATATATTTTTTAAGTAATACGAACATTTTAAATGGTTAGTTTATAGAACAATAACGATATTTAACAATGGGGGTGTTTTATAAAAAAAAATTTGAAGGTGCCAAAAATATGTTTTTGACATTTTCCATTTCACTCAAATGTTGGCGTTGCTATTTCCACGGGCAATCTATGTATCAAATGAATGCAGTTAGAATGGGTGTCTCTGGGCTCGTAATGGCTGTGTCTATTACACTGATCCGGGGCCACCGCGATCACGTTTACTGATTCTGGGTTTCAGCCGCCCTTGTTTCAACCACGTTCTCAAGTGTGGCGAGTTGATGATGGTCTCAACCCGGTCACCAGTGACTGCACAAAAAAAATCCATCACATGCCATTATATATATTTTTTACTTACTTCAGTTGTGAGCATTTTCCTGTCATTAAGACACCGTGTGAACCACTCGTGCGCGGATGAAGACAGCACTGGATAATTATTGTAGTGAGAGTGTGAAAGGACATGTAGTCATAATGTCAACATATAAAACCGTGTAACCGTGGCACACCATAGAAGGTTGCTAGAGTCGAGGACATCATTTCTAGTGAAAGAAAGTTCAAAGTTCAAAAGTTCAAAGTTCATTTATTAGGTATAGCCCTGTGAGCCATTCGGCTCTTGAATCGGGTGCAACCGCAACAAACAAACAAAACATGAACAAGAAAACATCTTAAAGTGACTATGTGCAAACATAAAATCCAAGAAAAGACAGCAAAATATTGCAGAAAGAGAACCTGAAAGGGAAGAGAGTTGAAGAGGGCGCTGCTCAAGCTGAGCAGCAGGAAGAAATAAGAAGGGTCAATCAGGAAGGGGTGGAGCGGGGAGAAGGAATGACCTGGTCAGGATATCTGGGATGAGAGAATGATGATGAGAGGGCAGAGAAAGTAGGGAGAGATAAGGATGGAGGAAGCATAAGTGAGCTGCACGTAGCAGCATTTGTTTTAACAGGGTGGTAGGGGTGGGATTCAGAGTGGGGGTGGCCACACATACATCACGTAATTTACAGCGGGCGTGAGCTGATGTATTCAGATTTGTGAATCCACTCCTGAATAAAGGCCTCCCCCACACTGTGTCAGTCATAGGGGTCGATTGGTAGTCAATTTAAAAAGTCCCCAGTGCTTTCACGAGCATTAGGCAGGCGATGCTTTTAGCTTACGATGGCCTAATTAGTGGAATATACCACTGTTCCCATGGAAGGAGAAACAGCACCTCTGTTAAATTCCCTCAGAGGTGTTCTTTGTTATCACACGGATCCCGGAGGAATGATGATGATGCGAGTCGGCTCCTGGTAGGGATTTGAACTCCAGCAGAAAATAACGTGTGCAAGAAGACGACGATATTGATATTAAATGTTAACTTTTAGTGAAGGGATTTTATTCATCTGCGTATATCCATGTTTACAATGCACTATACATGTTGCTGGGGTTAGTGAGCGAGACTGGTGCCATACATCTACACAGTTGTGAGCTTACAAGCAGATTTGTGAGGTTTTTTGCCTCCGTGAATTTGCACAGAATTGTGCCATGGTATTATAATTTGTCCAAATGCGTAGTTTAACATTTTTATATTAGAACAATGGGGAGGATTTTTTCATGACTGTGTCTGATGTACCTTGGATTTATCCTCGTCATTTTTGTCTTCACTATTGCCCTCGATTTCGATTGTCGTACATGCAGTTGATTTTGTTTTGAAAAGTTCAGTAATTCGCATGGGTGAAATATGAAATCATTCTCTTTATAAAACACAAAGGTAATGTATGTTTAAATAATCAATGCTAAGGCACTTGATTAAAACCCTGGGTTTTGGTGTCTCTCATTGAACAACTACTCGAGTGAGAGACCCTGGGGTGGTACCTTTTAAGTCGTGATTTCAACTGTGCATCTGTTGTCCCAACGCAACGAAGCAAGCCAAAGTCATCGCCATCCTGAAACCCAGAAAGCCGCAAGACTCACCCTCCAGCTACAGACCCAACAAATCCCTCTTTTCCTCCACCTACACACTGAAGGAACGAGCCACGCTTGCCAGACTTTGCCCCATTATCGACTGCCAACTTTCCTCCAGATGAAGCCGGATTTTCAAACTGGCTGTAGCGGCTGCTATGAACAAATCGCCACCTTCAC